TCATCTGCAAAATCAGAACATAAACAAAATTACGTGTACCAATTTGTACCAGACTGTCTGAGATAAATTATGTAACATGAAAACAGCGTAAACCAAACTATAAAACTGGGATCCATTACCATTATCAACCTGAAATACATGTTTTGCTACCTAAATTCTTGGAAATATTTAGGACCACAGAAGTATAGAGGAGTACATTTCGCTGGGAAAACAAAAACAAAGACAAAAACCTGATGTATATATATGGACATGCCTCAATAGTGGTAAAATAACTAAAATTTTAGTATTAGCTACACATTCACTCATATAGACAGCTGTTATGGCATTTTCCAGTTAACCAAAAAATTACATTCCAAAAGCTTCTAAATTCATTTTATGGTAACTTTAATCCACAAGAACCTAAATGACGTTTGATATTGCTGAACTTCATAAGTATTCTTGGTCCTGAAAATGGGACTTCTGTAATAAGAAATGAGTTTCTTTTCCCATTCTTAAGGAGAAGGTCGAAGTAAGCAATTATTGAAACTAATTTACTTTTGTGATATCCTTCTTCCTCTCTTTAAGCTTTCACATCCTGGAAGGACACACAGCCTTGAATGTGCTCCTAAAACAACCCTTTCTACCAACAGGTTTTATGTTCTAACAGCCCTTCCTTGAATCTTCAAACAGTAATTCCATGGCCATGAAACAATCTGTCGGCATTTAGAACAAATAAACCCAAGAAACTTACCACTACTAGAGTTAAAGTGTTTAAAGTCACTTGATACAGATTTATACATAGTTTTTAAATCTCTTGGAAATATTGGGGAAAATGAATTTTTAAAATTTTTACAGTCAATTATGATAGTCATTCAAGATATTAAGATATTTAACTTACAATCCCAAATATAGAAGATATTATCTTCTATATTTTTATGAGTTCAATTATAAAAAACGCATGAGAGAAAATAAAATTGTTGACTAGAGTTTAATACACTGCTTTTTCACAAATTGATGTTACTGAGATTTGCGTGTATTAAAAATAATACATTTTTGTTATCTAGGAATATTAGGATGAGAGAATGTAAATTCAAATAAATTTCTAATTGGTAGAATTTGGGAGCTATATATACTTGTAAGGCAATATGGAATGAGAGCTTCATAGGCAAAGGATAATTCCTTTGACAGAATTTAATTAGAATATCGATTTTATCAACCACATTATAAAATGAAAAGTTTTGTGATTATGAAAATATTGCTTATCCATCATTATTATGCCACTGTACAGATTAAAATAAAACTTGGTACTAATGTTTGCATTCTTTGATTAAATATACTGGATTTTTTTTCTCTTATAAGCAAAAATGTATGTGTGTGTGTGTGTGTGTGTTTATAGAGAGCTGTACAGCACAGGTTCATAATTGTTTAAATATTTAAATAAACAGGAAAAAAACTTTTATAGTGAAAAGTTTTTTATCCTGTATTACAGTTCTTTTCCAGATATAATAATAGTCTCTGGACGATAAATTTTTCTGGTATATAACCGTATCTTTTACATAAAGGCTAATAAGCTAGCCATTCTTCTGTCACTTTACTTTGTATACTTAGTAACAGTAACAGACTAGACTCATTTCTTACAAAGGCCACAACTGGCAGCACTTGGGACTGGCGGTGCTTGGGCCTGTAAGGGCCACATCTGGAGGGGTTCAGGACCATGTGGTGCAGGGAAGTGAACTCAGGGCTTCAAACACTCTAGGCATATCCACGCCAAGAGCTCTGTCCCCAGTCTCTCACTTTTTGTACCCAGTAAGTTGTTGTAAGGATATAACATATTTTATTGGAAAATTAAAGAAATAGTTTCAGTTTTTCTAACAAAATATCAATGAACATTCTTATATGTATATTTTTTATGTACGTAAGTATATTCACAAGAAATGTTAGTGTTATTGAGTCAAGGAGTATGTGTACATTTTTAAAATAAGATATTGTTCTATTACCTTCCAGAGAGCTTGTGCCAAGTCACACAGCATGGAATTCTTTTCTAATTAACACAGTTCTATGCTGTCAATGGCCAAGAAAGTAACAAGTTACTATAGAGAATATTTAATCAGAAGTAGCATCTACTCAATCCCACCCTAATAAGAGTGTCTGTTAAATCACCTGATTTCTCAAAGAAGCCAAAAATCTAGATTCTTCTGTATGAAATCTGATTTTGGGGGGTGTTGGAGCCACATTCAGTGGTGCTCACCAGCACATCTGGTTCAGGGAACCAGTGCGTGACAGATACTGAATCTAAACCGCTTGCAAAACTCAACCTCTTGGGCTGTCTCTACGGTGTCATCTCCTGATTTCCAAATGCAGACAAATGACTAAAATTCAAGAATTTATGAATGGGAATCAGCTATTGGAATTGCATAGCCTTCGGTTCCCACAAAAACAGTAATGGCATGTTTTCAGCACATTTTAAAATTGGGATTTCTGAGGTTTCGATTTTGCTCTACGGTGAACCTGATGGTGGATTTTATGAGGTGGCCATTATTCCCCCCAAGCTATTTGAATAACTTAATCTACTCTTGCCCAGCCATTTCAATAATCAGGTTCCTACAGAAGTCTCCCTTTCTTTAATTTCCAATTTCAATAGAATGTTGTGCCTCTATTTTCTTCATTATGAAAAACTACCACATATTTTATAGTTGAGTCATTTTTCCATTAGTGTAATCTTGCTTTACGCAAAAGGGAGGGTGGAGCGATAGCACAGCAAGTAGGGCATTTGCCTTGCGCGGCAGCTGACCCAAGTTCGATTCCTTTGTCCCTCCCGGAGAGACTGGCAAGCTACCAAGAGTATCCTGCCCGCCCTGTAGAGCCTGGCAAGCTCCCCGTGGCATATTCAATACGCCAAAAACAGTAACAACAAGTCTCACAATGGAGATGTTACTGCTGCCCATTCGAGCAAATCGATGAACAACAGGATGACAGTGCTATAGTGTGCTACTCGAAAGGGAAGACAATCTCTAGTCATTTTTCTATACTACCTTGTGTTCAACAAATTCATTTAATTAGCAAAAATAAAATTGTTGGGTGTTGTAAATTTAAAAGATGTTTCTTTTCATTTAAATAAGTACTTTAAATTCACATAAAATCTTTTAAAATTATTCACATTTATACGATTAAGAAAGTAAAGACTAAGAGAATTAATACTGAAATTGCCATAGGGCTATAAAAGACACTCAAATTTGTGGGTAATATCATGAGACTTTAAAACTTTTATTATCTCTTCTATAGAATATTTTCAAAAGAATCAGTATGAGAAAGACAATGTATTACACAATTATAAGCAGAAATGTTTGTAAACAATAAAGTTATAAAAAATGTGATATTTAAATGTCTTAATACTTAAAACTATTATTCATTTATAAATCATTCTGAATCTTAATTTTATATTACTGCTTGTTTGGGATATACCAAACTTGCCTCAGGGCTTACTCTTGGTTCTGCAATCGAGGTCAACTCTGGCACAATTGGGGTAACATAATATAGGGTGATGGGATTGAATGTGGGTTAGTCACTTGCAAGGCAAGCACCTGACCTGTTGTACTATCTCTCCAGTGCCTGGATCTTAATTTTAGAGTTAATAATTTTTAAACAATCCTTAATTTTCAATGTAATCAGTTGAGATGTTTTCTTAATATAAAAAAAACAAGAAGACCAAAAAAAACCACTACAGAACTTTAAAACTTAACAGATTTCAATGTATGTCTACATATAATATATATACAGTATATATATACACACACACATTTATTTATATATCTGTCTCTGACAAATATATGAGTTTCTCAGAAAATCTGTGTACCAGAGTCATTCTACCAACACTGATGTCATAGGATACTCTACTTGTAATTTCCAGAGGCAAAGACCTAAACATAAATTCCTGTTAGGACCTCTGTTTGAATGGTCTTTCTTCCCCTTAAGAGGTAACTTTAACTATTTAAGAACATCTTTTCAAAAGGAAACTGATTAGATCAGTGGTTTTCAACTGTCTGTTTACAGGTCACTTCTTGTTCACAGGTATTTCCAGATTGAAATAGCTGGATCAGACTGTCCTAAAACTTCAAATCCTGGGGCCAGTATGACAGTACAGCGGGCCAGCTGCTTGCCTGCACAAACATGACTGAGTTAGATCCCAGGCACCCTCTGCAGTTCTCAGCGCCCTGCCAGGTGTGATCCTTAAGCGGAGTCAGATGTAAACTCTAAGGTGTGGCCCCAAAACCAAGAAGAAAAAGACACAAAAACCTTTAAAACGTTAATCCCCTGTCTTAGGCATCACTTGAAAATCAACATTTTAATCAAAAAAAGCAAGTTTAGGAAGTTAAAAATCATGAGGATGGAGCGATAGCACAGCACATAGGGCATTTGCCTTGGATGCGGCAGACCCGAGTTCAATTCCCAGCATCTCATATGGTCCCCCGAGCACCGCCAGGAGTAATTCCTGAGTACATGAGCCAGGAGTAACCCCTGTGCAATGCCAGGTGTGACCCAAAAGGCAAAAAAATAAAATAAAATAAAATAAAATAAAATAAAAATTACACATTTAGGAGCCAAGAGGTAAAACAACAGTATACTTAGCATGTGCCTGGTATGGCCTACATGGATACAATTCCTGGCACCACGTGGTCCCTGTCTTTGCTGGGTACAGCCCTGGAGGCCCTCCACCCCAGCACCGCAGGGTGGTCGAGTATCTCTGGCACTGCAGGGCCTGAGGAACATCACCTCCTTGGACCCTTGGTCTGAACCAGCAGCCTGGAAGGTGGAGAATTACTAGTGGGTCCAGCACTCCTGAGCACCAATTGGTAGCCACCTCCAAAATAAATCACATTTAAATTATAGTCTATGTATAGACTCTTCAAATGCGTGATCCAGATCCCTCTCTCTTCAAATGTGTGATCCAGAGCCCGTGTAAAGAAAAATAATAATTAAAAGAAAGAAGATAAAAAATATTATATTTTAATTTCAGTTAAAATACAAATGAATATAATGCATTAAAAAAACTTTGAGATCACAATATATATGGAAAACTGACCACTGAAAGATGCAAACGATTCATACAATATAGTAGAAGCTTTAATATATAAATTAGACGTCATTTCCTCAGTTAGCCAGATCAGTTGAAATCTACATTATATATTAAAATATTAAAAAGCTAAAAAACCATCATTGCAATATAGTCAATGGGAAAATACATATTTGTGGTTTTATATACAATCTAAATTAATCCCTTATGTATAATAGTTTCCCAAAATATAAACAGCACTTTACATGCAATAGAACTAGGAGGCTAATTGTCCTAATATAATTTAATATTCAGAAAAATAAAGAGAAAAAAACCTCTGAATAAGACCGTTTACATAGCAGAGGTGGAATACAAAATAAGATTCTGAATTCACACAATCTTGGATAAGATTAAGGAAATATAAAAAACGATAATTTTTCCTACTTTCGGGTAAAATGAAGACTACTGTGATTTTATGTTTTCCAGTTGTAACACAGACTGAGAAACATAAAAGGGAAATGGGAGATAGGGGAAACCTGATCCTTTATGAATTTTAAACATCAGCCCTGCCTATGGGCTGCATTTAGGCTGCTTTTCTGTTGACAGTTTCCTAAATTACTTCTGCCACTCCGAATTGTGCATCAGTAGTCAGATGAGTCTTCCAGATTTCATTACGCCATTGTGTAACCATAGCTGCCACAATGTAGAGCCACAAGAAGTCTGTCCTTGAGTATTTCTTTAGATGGGTATTCAGGTAACTTGAGCATGTTGATGCTTTAAAAGAAAAATATACCACCCATTAAAAAGGGAAAATCTATGAAATTTCTGATTGTTTTGTCTAGCAGCAAAACCACTACTCAAAATTAACATAAACCAACCCTTTCACATTTGCATTCAAATTGGAAAACCCTGGAGTAGTATTTAAAAAGAAAAAAAAAACCTGCTGCACTGCAGTTTCCTTTAGCATGCAAATGCAGCAGAGAAGATAAGTTTCACTCTAAAATAAACAAGCAATAGGGTTATTTAGTCTGAAGTGATAGTGTTAACGAAGTGACATTTATGACATCATCAAAGAAGCAGGGATGGCAAGGAACTACACAGCTACTTACCAGTGATTCTGAAATGCTAAATACAGGTCACACAGCAGAGGTTTTTCTCGCAATGCAGCAATATAAGTTATACTTTTGATGGATCATTCAAAACTTACCAAAACAATTCAAAGTGCATGTAAATAAGCCAATTTAACATACCATGTGCTTGAAGTTGGCAGAAGATTTGGAGTATATGGCACGGCAGCAATTGTAAAATTTTGCAATCCACTTCCACCCATGATATTAGCAAAGCCACCATGCGGGACTCTGGAACTAAGAGTTTATATCTGAGTAAGTTGTGATCAGGAAAGAAAACTTGGGGTGATAATTACATTTCAAAATCTGGGGCTGGAGCGATATCACAGCAGGTAAGGCATTTGCCTTGCACACGGCCGACCCAGGTTTGATTCCCAGCATCCCATATGGTCACCTGAGCACGGCCAGGAGTGATTCCTGAGTGCATGAGCCAGGTGTGACCAAAAAAAAAAAAATCTAAGTTAGGGTGTCAAAGATATAGTTCAACAAGACAAGCACAGGTTTTCACATGCAGGAGGCCTGGTTCCATTCCCAGCTCTACCAGGAGTGACTTAAAAGCACACAATCAAGAACAACCCCCTGAGCGCTGTCTGGGATAAACCCAAACAAACAAACAAACAGGCATAAAACTAAGTTAGGGTAAGAATATATTCATCTACAGAACACTGACAAAATAACATTTTTGAGCCTGCAAAAGCTACTTTCTGACCTGTGAGGAAGCTTCCATGAAGACACCCCTCTACATTTTACGAAGCCTTATTAGGATTTTGATTGCAAACAGCACATCAATTGCATTCAGAGAATTGTATGCACAATGCACATTTCTCATGTTTCTCCTATTACAATGGGTTTTTCTGTAAGGCCCAAATATACCATATCTGAATTTGTATCCCCAAGGACACCAAAATAACTGACATCAAGAAATTCATTAAATATTTGCTGGATAAATAAGTATCTGATTAATTATTTCAAGCACTAGAAGCTTTTTTTTTTTTGGTTTTGATTTTGGGCCACATCCAGTAGTGCTCAATGCTTACTCCTAGCTCTGTTCTCACTCCAGGCAGTACTTGAAGGAATATATGGGGTGCGGGAGATCAAACCACGGTTGGCTGAGTGCAAGGGAAACACCCTACCTGCTGTACCATCATTCCACCACAAAGCACCAAAGGCATCATCTAAATAATTCCCCAGTTTGTGAAAAGTATTTTGGGCCAAAGAGTTCTTGCTCTGTTTTCCACAGTGGGAAAATTGAAAAATTCTTTACATTTTTTTCTTTCTAGAGATTCAAAATATAAGATGCATTTTTAAAAAATATCACCTAATACAAGGAGACCACAGAAAGCTAATACTTAATGCACAACATACATGCAAAGGATATACAGTTACAATTTCCAAAATTCAACTGTTAATATTTGAGAGCAAACTATTTCATAATAACCTAAGTATGTGTAAAGATTAAACAAATTGATATTGGAAAAATAATCTTGGAAAAAGTAGATACTGTAGTACTTTTTGCATAAATCAGAATGATAAAAAATTTAATGTAAATTTTTTATATTAAAAGTCTGGTATTTAAAACATTTTCTGACATATGATTCATTGTGCCAAATATAATTCAGTTTTTTCACAGTCACAGTCACAGTCCTCCCGTTGTTCATGGATTTGCTCGAGCGGGCCCAGTAACGTCTCCATTAGAGACTGTGTTGTTACTGTGTCTGGCATATCGAATACGTCACGGGTAGCTTGCCAGGCTCTGCCGTGCGGGCGAGATACTCTCGGTAGCTTGCTGGGTTCTCCGAGAGGGGTGGAGGAATCGAACTCGGGTCGGCCATGTTGGCCACTTGTAAGGCAAACGCCCTACCGCTGCGATTAAAAAAAAAAAACCTGTTGAACAGTGAACAATCAGGCATAAACAAAGATATAGATACCAATGGAACAGCACTGTAGCAGAGCCAGGAGAAACCCTTGAGTTTCGCTGCATGTGACCCAAAAAGCAGAAAAAAAAAAGGATATATTTAGGGCCCCCAGAAAGACAGCTCAGTGACGTAGAATGTTTGCCTAGCAAGTGGAAAGTCATGAACTCAATCCCTAGTGCTGCTAATGAATCAAAACAAGCACCACAATGAAAGAAGTGAAGGGGCTCGCTCCCCACCCCCCCACCCAGCAGTGATTGGAGGCCCACAAGCAGCTGCTACAGTGAGACTTGGACCTGCAAATGGGGGTCTGACTATTCTGTGCTAGGACCCTGCCATATGGTGCTGTTAGAGCCCAGCACTGCTCGCAGACACCTGGCCACACCCAGTGATGCTTGAGAGTCACTTGGATTATACCCTGTGGCAGCTATGGGATGCAGTACAAGAAATCAAACTTGAGGCCTGGCACATGCAAGCATGTGGTCTAACAGAATCAGATCTTTCTCTGGCTCACGATAATCAGGAAAAATAACAAGTAGTAAATAACAATCATATTGTTCATAATGGTTATTGCTGGTAAGAGATATTTTTATTTCTTCAATTCTCCTAAAAGAATACCTTTCCTTAAAAAAAAATTTCCCTGGTACTAGAAGGGCACAGATAAAATTCTAAGTTAACAAGAATAAAATCTAGACTTATAAAATTATCTTTCCAAAGGCCAGAGAGATAATACAGTGGGCAGGGCTCTTGCCTTGCATGTGGCTGACAGAGGTTCTATCCCTGGCGTCCCATACAGTTCCCCAAGTACCTCCAGGAATAGTCTCAGTGTCTCAGTCTCTCTCTCAGTCTCTCTCTCTCTCTCTCTCTCTCTCTCTCTCTCTCTCTCTCTCTCTCTCTCTCTCTCTTTATATTAAGATGTAGTAGTTAAAAAAAAAAAGGTTTAAAGAATCGACCTTAGGGAACCAGGGGCCGGGGAAAGGGCTCCTATTGCTACAGTACATGCTCTGCATGCAGGAGTCCCAGATTCCACCTCCAGCATCACATGTTCTCTGCCTCTCCCCCAGGCACTGCTGGAAGTGGCTCCAGAAAGCACTGCCCCACACCCCCACCCCCCCAAAAAATACAACTTTCTAAAATTAATTCTATGTAGCGTGCTTCAAAAGTAAATATTTCAAAGAAGTATGCACAATTATTTTCCATACCACAAATTGAAACCTTTTCAAATTAGATAAGAACTGGAGAAAATTGTGTTTTCTCTGTGTTGTGGACAAGCACAGACACGGAAACACTGTCTGGCAACATGCCAGTATGAAAAATGTGCCTACTGTCATTAACAGTAGAATGAAAGATTACCAAATGATAAAATACACATGCTAATAGCCCTGCATACACGGAGCACTATTATGTTTATCTTTAATAAATAAATTCTTGTTTACCCTGTGAAAAGTATAAAGGAAGTGAGAAACTTACCAGAGCAATAATTCATTTTGATTGTTTGTGTCTATACCATTAGAAATGGAATATATTAAATTCTTTCCACATTCCATCAGTAAAACACTTCTTACCTTCCAGTAACAAACTGCAGGAGAAGCACTCTCTCCTCTGGAGTAATATCTTCCACAACTTCCCAGAACCACTAGCAACAAGAACAATTAAAAAAACTTAGCTCATAATTCTAAGCAATTGTAGATTTCTTAATGTGAAAGAAATATGCAATATTCATAAAGCATATTTTATTCTATGAAACTCATTTATCAAAATGATTCCATACAAAGCTTTCATATGCAATATTCCCAGGAGAAGAATTGAGAGAAAAACTTTACTTTGTTAATTAATGTAGGTTTTCATCCATCGCGCTGAAAAGCTTACAAAATTAAATGGCAAAAACTTAACTTCATTCTAAGCTCTCGAGAGATTTTACCTGAATAACTGGATCTTCTCTTTCATAGCCACTTGTGTATTCTGTATTTTTTATCCAATCACTCACATCAATTTCTGGCATGCCAGAAAGCAGCAGCTCCTTTGGGGAAGAAGAAAAATATTTCATTAATCTTCCTGGGGGGGGAAAAGCTGTTACATTTAAATAGTAAATCTGCTTTAATTGGAAACCAATCCCAAGTAAAACTGATTTGTTTCTGTGACAGTTTTTCCATGTCATCAATAACAGGGTCTACGCAGGAATTTTTGATAGTGATGATAACCTCAAATATTTTGAGAGGTAGCGATGTCTCCATGTGGATATATAATTAAAACATAACAGTTTATATTTATATACCAATACATATGCAACAAGTTTATATGTGCAACATTAGAAGCATAACTTTGATTTATGCTTTTGTTTCATGAATTTGTTAAATTAAGAGATCATGTACTCAACATAAAAATTACAACAAAGACTCAAAGAAATCCTGAGATACACAAAGGAAAAATAGTCAACAATCCCTTATACATCAGGGGAAAAAGGGAGGCGAAAGAAGTAGCATAATTTTTAAAAAGTAGCTAAAGTTAGAGAAAAGGACAAATACCAGGTGAACTCTCTTATACGGTATATAAAGAAACAAAGCAAAAGGTATGGATCGGCAGTAACCTTTGGGCAAAACTGAGTTTACCACGCACAGGTGGAGGCTGGGGGGGCGGGGGGGGGGGAAGAGGCGAGCAAGAGGTGCTGAAGGATCTTTGGCATTTTGGTGGATGGGCTGCCACTGCACACAGAAACGTAAATATTAACACTATACTAAATAGGTTACCTAAAATACAATTTAAAAAGAGTGTGTGTGTGTGTATCTGCATGTGTGTGCATCTGTGTGTGTGTGTGTGTGTGTGTGTCTGGGGGGGGGGTCTAGTCTAAAAAAACATTAAGGGGCCAGAGAAATAGTACAGTGGTTAGGGCGCTTGCCTTGCACGTGGCCAACCTGGGTTCGATCTCCAGCATCCCATACGGTCCCCCAAGCACTGCCAGGAGTAATTCCTGAGTGCAGAGCCAGGAGTAACCTCTGAGCATCGCTGGGTATGACCCCAAAAGCAAAAGCAAATAAACAAACAAACAAACAAACATTAAGGCAGGTGGCAAAGCGAAAATGGCAAAAAAAAAGTGAAATTATCTGAAAAGCACTGCTGCATATTAACATAAAGGACACAAAAAAACCCTAAATGGAACTGAATCCTAAGAGGCTTTCTTGAGAAAATTCCCTGGAGAACTTCAGCCATCTCAGGAAGATTCAGAGCTGCGGAGCTAGCTAAGGAGGGCTTCCCCGGAGTGGGGAAAGGGTGAAGGGGAGGCTAAAACAGTACAGGGACAGGCCGGCAGGTGCTGCACTTAAACCTCCACCCTAAGGCGGGGGCTGGTGGGTACAGAGATCTCACAGAGGTTCATCTTTGTGCCTGGCCCCTCCAAACAGGAAAGTCTGAGACTACTGGGGCCAACACAAGGTGTGCCTTTGGCCCAGGACACAGCTGGAGGTGAGTTCCTCGAAACACGTCTGCGGCAAGAGCCAATTTGGGAACTAAGGAAAGCCTCCTGGGGAAAGGACACCAGACCCAGATCTCCCACCAAAGGTGGGGAACACCAAACAGGTTTTACAGATGTGCAGCTTTTGTTCCTGCGCCTACCAAGGGCAAAGAGACTCAAGGCTGCTATGAGTCAGCAGGAACAGGGGCTGTGTGATTCCGGGTCTCACAGCTGGGAGCTGCCATCCTGGAGGTGAGCGCCTGGCTGCTAGCAACAGTCCCAGAGGGGGTACTGCAAATCCCAGGGAGGGACTGCAAGTCCCTCAGTAGCTGCCAATACCAGCTTGCTGAACAAATAGCCAACACTTAATGGGGACACATGATCACAATCTTTAATTGCTTGGCCAGGCCATTTAGACTGTGACTCCAAATTATTGCCAGACATCTTTAACTGCAAACCCAGGCCAGCACCCAGTCTGGCCAGACCTCAGTGCTATAGCAGCTAGGGTACATGAGACCTCACATCCAGTTTTGACCCAGGCACATGTAATTCAGAATCACAAGTATAAGCTCGGCCTTGCAAACATGAGTCCCCCATCACGTTTCCTGTCAAACACTACTCAGATCCCCTTTCCTAGCCCTCACACAACACCAACTGTAATGGGGAAAAAATGGGGGATTCAGCTGCTTCAATGAGTGGAACAAAAGGTCAGAAGGGTCTTAAACACACAAAAACGTTCTAAACTGTGTAAGAAAGAGAACAATACTTTAGTTTAATGGTGAAATATATCATCAATAAACTCAAAGATTAATGGAAGAAAAAAAATCATCCATACTGAAATGAAGGAGCTCAAGTATATATTAGCTGAGCTAGGAAATAAAATAGGAGGATAAAACAACAGAATGGAAGGAGCCAAAACCAGAATCCATGAACTTTAATTAAAAGAAATGGAAGAGTTTTAAATGATGAGAATTTAAGGACAATACGGGATAACATCAGAAGAAACGGCCTCCACATTACAGAAATTTCAAGATGAGAAAAGAATGGAGTAGAATAGCTGGGGGAAAAAAATATATATATATATTATAATATATATAACAGCTAAGAACTTGCCTAATCTGAGAAGGAAGATGTTCACTAACCCAAAAAACCCAAAGACTTCCAAACAAATCCACACAGAAGAACAGCAAGATGCACTGTAATCAAAATGGGAAGAATCAAAGAGAAACCAGGCAGTTTCAGGGTCTACTCCTGGCTCTCTGCTCAGGGGTCACTCCTGGCAAGGTCTGGGGTAACCATATGGGATGCTGGGGGTGAAACCTGAGTTGTCAGAGTGCAAGGCTAATGCCCTACCCACTATACTATCTCTCTGGAGCCAGGGTTTCTGTTTCTTGAGGTTGGATAGTAGTTTCATATTCAAATGCATCTACAGGGTGAGAGAGATAGTACACAGCAAGTAAGACACTTGCTTTACAGGCGGTCGACCTGGATTCAATTCCCAGTTCCACATATGGTCTCCTATGAAGTGCACAGAGCTAGGAATAATCCCTGAGCACTGCCATATGTGCAACCCCCCCCCCAAAATAAAACAAATAAATAAAATGCATGTACACTGTGATTAATATAAAGTTTTATAAAACCTATTAATGTCAGTAAATTATGAGGCAATATAGAGCATTATGAGGCAGTGTAGCACATTATATGTCAACATTTATCAAGTACATTGTTGCTATTTGTTTTTTACATAAAGGTCAAGAAAATGGCCTAATTCTCATGTGTATCACAAGACTAATTTAATCCAAGCACAGTATTTGAAAATCATATTTCGGTCAGCTAAACAACAGTTAACAAATAAATACTCCCATTTTTAAACAGTAAAATGTCTATGCTAAAAAAAAAACATTAATGTGAATGCTAAAAATATAACAAAGGTATCTCATGGACCAGAGTGACAATACAGGGGATAGGGTGTTTGCTCTGCATGCAGCTGACTTGGCTATATCCCTGGTGCTGCATATGGTGTCCTGAGCCCCATCTGGGGTTATCCCTGAGTGCAAAGCCAGGAGTAAGCCCTGAGCACAGCAAGGTGTGGCCCCAAAACAAATGAACCTCAAATTGACATTTAAGGAAACTATATCACAACTGACTTCAAAATTAATAAGTAAATTTTGTCCACTACTATATATAGGCTGAAGCAATAGCACAGCAGTAGGGTGTTTGCCTTGCACGCAGCCTGCCCAGCCGAGCAGGGTTCGATTCCTCCACCCCTCTTGGAGAGTCCGGCAAGCTACCGAAACATATTCAATATGCCAAACACCACTCGAGCAAATCGATGAACAATGGGAGGACAGTGTTTGGGCAGTGTTTGGACTATATACTGATATATAGATACAGATATATATGTGTGTGTGTATATATACATATATAGGTGTGTGTGCGCGTATATATGTATATATAAAATCAAAGGCATCTATCAGAAAAAGCATTAGAGGTAAAACTAATCTTATGAAGAGAATGAAACCCAAGGATACTTGTACATTTATCTGGAATTTACTTTTCTAAATTATAATTTAAATAAGAAAACAGCTGTGCTCTATTTAAAATGCTGTGTTCTATTAAGGATTTAGACAACTCATGAAGAGTTTGAAATAACAAAAATAAAAGAAAAAAAGGAAATGGGAGGATATGCATGCATAAATCATATGCAATTAAAAATCCCACTGAATCATAATAAAGGGAATTGAAGAGTAAAACAAAACAGTCATAGATTAAAGCCCAGCAAAGAGTAGACTCCATATCAATGTGAAATAGAGAACTACAAAATTATGGATATAGTAAAATATGAAGCTGGAAAATATAGCACAAAACAAGAAAAATTTTCCGTCAATTCTTTTTGGAAGTATACAAGAATTTGTACCATCATTTTTTACTTCATATAACCAAATTAAAACTTCAGAAATTATATAACCACTGCTTTTGTGAATAAAGGCATTCAACATCCCTATGTAGAACACAATGGAAATACTTCATTTTCATTTATCATCACCTCATCCCATTTCTTTTTTTTTTTTTTTTTGCTTTTTGGGTCACACCCAGCGATACACAGGGGTTACTCCTGGCAGTGCTGGGGGACCATATGTGATGCTGGGAATCGAACCCAAGTCGGCCACATGCAAGGCAAATGCCCTACCCGCTGTGCTATCACTCCAGCCCCACCTCATCCCATTTAACATGAAGGAATTGCTAATCTAGTTATGAAATTCAAGAGAACACATTCACAAATCTTATAACAAACCTCTAAACACAAATACGAAACTACAAAGTCTTATACGTTATTCCATTCCATTCGAGTATTCTAGAGTTACTTCTAAATTACATCAACTGGGTTTTGTGTGACTGTATACCAACAAAAGAACTGATATTCTTACCAATTCATATTCATCAAAAAGTTGTATGAGAGAAGGTGGAATGAACATATGAAAGCCCTGTAAAAAAGCATTGATCTGTGGCTGAATGGCTCTTGTCATTCGAAGTTCAGTAACAAGCTGAACATACTCCGCCTGTAAAAAAATTAAAAAAATAAATAAGATGATGGTTTAAAATTTGTACTCTTAATTCTGACGCCATTATTTCATCTAAAAGGTGAAATTGTAAAACCTGTTACCAACATTCATATTCCTTCAATCATGGTAAGCTACCAACAACTAGGTCAGTTAGGTCAAAATCCTAGGATGCACACATAAATCCTGCTTATATCACTGGGTATCACTCTGTATGATATGACTTTATCATCTACTTTCAAAACCATCCTCAAACTGTTCTTGTTGCACCAACACTGCTTCTAGTACCCTGAGCCAAGCTATCATCATATCTCACCTGGTGAGCACTGCTTCTACTTCACAGCACTGAATCATTTAGATACACTGACAAATGGCTGATAGACAAGATACTGATATGTATAAAATAGACATAGATTTTTAATTGCATCTGAAGTAAAAATGCGGTAAAAGCAACATGCTGCATTTAGTTCTTACCTCCCAGAAATGAATGAATATTCTAGAAACAGAGGAATCATTTTAGGTCCCTCCTTTTATAAATACATATACACATATATTTTAATAGTAATCTGATGCTCAGTTGCTCCTCAAAAAGACCCTGAGCCAATCAAGTTAAATATGCTTACTGGCTCTGTATTCTCCCAAACACCTCCAGATATCTGGAAGTATTTCTTACAGAGGATTCCTCACAGCTCTCTCCTAACCTCACACTGTCCCTTGTGCAATCTGGCACAGAGAAAGCTGCCAGTTATTTTTGCTACTCAATTGACTCTCACCACCAAACCCCACTCCCAACCATCCAGATATTTTTCTCCCACAGAAGGAATAATTGGCTGTTATGTCACACCAAGTAGGTAGCAGAGAGGACACAGAAGTATGTGTCCCTAACAGTCAAACAGAGTAGACCTGAAAATTTCATAATCCTATTCAAAAAAGTATATTCTGAGTGATAATAAATAGCTGGGCTAGAGTGATAGCACAGCGGTAGGGCGTTTGCCTTGCACGCAGCCAACATGGCCGACCCGAGTTCGATTCCTCCACCCCTCTGGAAAGCCCAGCAAAGCTACCAAGAGTATCTCGCCCGCATGGCAGAGCCTGGCAAGCTACCCGTGATGTATTCAATATGCCAAACACAGTAACAACAAAGTCTCACGATGGAGACGTTACTGCACCTGCTTGAGAAAAATCGATGAACGGGAGGACAGTAAGAGTAATAAATAGCTAGTTATTCAGCATTTGCACATGATTTTTAGGTCTGCTCTAAGACTGCTTACTGTACATATCACAGTTCTGCTCCATTCATTCACTATGGTTAAGGTGTAATATGACTGTCTACCCTTAATAACCTCTCCCCAAGATTCTTTATAACCTTAAGGTAATATTCAGTAATCATTGTTCAAGATATCTTGACAAATTATGAAGTATGAATGTAAAAGATTTGTGAATTGTTCAAATATAATTATTTTAATTTGTATACTTTAATATACTTGTTAAATTCAAAATGTACTATTTTAATTTCCTATTGCATTCAGTATTTATAAGCATAGTATACATTCTCTTTATCAAATTCCGCTACTTTATCATACACTCTTCTTTTGGGGAGTGCACATCTGGCTGCGTTTGGAGTCTATTTCCTGTGCGCAGTGATCTCTCCTGGTGGTGCTCAGGAAACTTTATGTGGTGCCAAGGATAGAGCCTGGATCAGCAGCATGCAAGGCAAGAGCTTTACCCATTGTACTATCACTCCAGTCCAAGTTCTTCTTCTTTTTTTTTTGTCTCAATGTCCAGAAGTACACTAAACTTTCTCCACACTTTCCCTTCTATTCCTGCTAATACTGCTTTCCATTTTTATTCCACCAAATCTAGGACAATTACTAGATATGACTTTGAGAATATTAACTCCTTTGACTACAAGTCCCCAATGCTAATTCAAATGTGGATGTGTCTTTGTCTAAATTATTTATTCAGAAAAATAAAATCCTAGCCAACCCACATCCTCCTGAGACGTTTAGTAAAGAGCTTTCCAGAAAGTGGAAATTAACTGTTTTTAAATCTAAATTCAACTATTACTAAAATATTCCCTTATTTTCTTAAAGAGTAAATCCTAAAACATGTAAGTTACGTTTTGGGGCCACACCAGGTGGTGCTCAGGGCTTACTCTTGACTCTATAGTCAGGAATCACTTCCTGGCAGTGGTCAGAGACCATATGCTGGAGATGGAATCCAGGTCAGCAGCATACAAGACAAGCACCCAACCCATGGTACTATCTCTCTGGCCCAAAATTTTCTTGATATAATTACTATGAATATTCACTATAATTACGTACAAATGTTTCAACTCTTCTTACTGTTCAGTTATACACTTCTACAGTCACATCACCTCTAAAGGAATCTGCGTAACTCACCCACACTTAATGCCCTTAACGTAACTAAATCAAGTATCTTACATACTTTAAGAAACAGGAGATGTGTAGGTGTCAATCATACACTGAGCTAAAGAATTCAACAATAAATATAAATCAAATACAGGCTAGAGACGTAGTTTATTGATAGTGTGCATATACTGCATGAGAAAAGCCCTGGATTTGAACTCCATCACAAAAAAGAAAAGTGAATATAAGTGAAATCTATTATTTTACTTTTTTCAAAGACATTAAGAGACAGTAGACAATGTGGAAAGTGGGGAATTTTTATCCCCAGTAGATACTGAAGGAGTCATATCTACTTATGCTGTCAATTCTTTAAGGGCAGAAAAAAAGTCTAAGTTGCTACAGAATTAAATTTGAGAGTTAACCATATTAAAGAGTCTGGTTAGCAATTTGAGAGTTACCCATATTAAAGAGTTGTGTTAGTACCAGTACTAGTTGAAATAGTTTTGCAAGTTCTCAACTGAACCTCAATTTGGTGAAAAGAACAGCCAAAAATAAAAGAAACTTACCAATTTTTTTTCTAGCTCAACCTCAGTCTTATAACTAATATAAGAGAGGTAAGCATAAAGTAACTTCAAAAGAGAGAAATAAAATCACCAAGATTAAGGATATTAAATTTTCAGACATTATCTCTGAGTTAAATTACATGTCTAGCTAGAGAAACACGTCTGTTTCAACAATTTCCTAATCTTCTCAATATAGAGAGAAAATAATAGTATCTCTTGAAAGTTTTCTTACAATTTTTTACTTCTAGGAGACCTGGGCATGTTGTGGAGTACTTGCGCTGCAAGGGTGAGGCCCCCAGTCTGATTCCTGGCTACACATTGCTGGGTGTGATTAATGGCATTGTGCGATTCCTAGTGCACTAAGGGTATGATTGCTGGAAGACATTACAACTAAGTGTGCATGAGCGCCATAGCCAAGCATGTGATCTCAACACTGCAGCTACGAAAATAAAGAAAACGAAAGGGATAATTTTTTAAATTTCTTTTTAACCTTTGAACCTAAATCACATATTAGAATGGTGGTGATACTGAAAACTGATACATGGTTTAAAGTTGTTTTTTGTCTTTAAAGTCTTCACTTTACACACCCAAGGACAATAGACACAAGGGCCGGGAACATTGCCTCATAGTTGGAAGCCTGTCTCCTGAGCTGGGGGAGAAGGCAGCTGGAATAGAGAAGGGATCACTAAGACAATGATGGCTGGAGGAATCGTTCAGTATGGGAGATGTGTGCTGAAAGTAGATGAAGGACCAAACATGATAGCCTGTTAGTATCTGTATTTCAAACCATAATGCCCCAAAGTAAGATAGAGTATGGGGGAAATTGTCTGCCATGGAGGCAGCGGGAGGGTTGGAGGGGGGGGGCGGTATACGGAGAGTATCTCGCCCGCAGGGCAGAGCCTGGCAAGCTCCCCATGACGTATTCGATATGCCAAACACAGTAACAACAAAGTCTCCAATGGAGACATTACTGGGCCCGCTCGAGCAAATCGATGATCAACTGGGGACATTAATGGTGGAGAATGTTCACTGGTGGAAGGATGGGTGTTTGATCATTGGATGACTGAAACTCAAACATGAAACCCTGTAACTGTTTCTCACAGTGATTCAATTAAAAAAAAAAAGAATGTCTTCACTTTTCTTGAAAAATATCCAAATAAACCAGATTTATTTAGTTATACAATAAAAAACCTGCTGTAGTAAAAGAAAGATGGTCATATTTTTCTTATCTGAAGATATACATATTGATAAACTGGTAACATTTATTAAATTGTCCCAAAAAGTTTTCAGCAGTTAACTGTTTAAATAGCATTATTACTGATATAATTCAATTTGCTCTTTGGATACAAACCCTATTGAAAGCTCCTTTTCATTTTTTTGACTTATGTACTTAATCATTATTAGCCTAGCATGTAAATGGCTTCACTGAAAACCACTAAGATTCAAAATATACATATTCACATTTCATTTATAAATGAAAAGATAAATGAAAAAGAAGAGACATTTTTGGAACTATAGCACAGCGGGTAAGGCATTTGCCTTGCAAGCGACCAATATGGCCGACCCGAGTTCGATTCCTCCGCCCCTCTCGGAGAGCCCTGCAAGCTACCGAGAGTTTCTCGCCCGCATGGTAAAGCCTGGCAAGCTCCCCGTGACGTATTCGATATGCCAAACACAGTAACAAGTCTCATGATGGAGATGTTACTGGGCCCGCTCGAGCAAATTGATGAATAACGGGAGGACCGTGACCAAATTTTTTTCAGTAATTTACTCTCTGCCAGTATATTCTTACTTTTAAGGTCACAGATTAGTCGCAATGATTGATAGACTTTAAAAAATAATAAAATAAAGACAACCCTGGGCGCCGGAGTGATAGTACAGTGGGTAGGGTGTTTGCCTTGCATGCGGAGGATCCAGGTTCGATCCCCAGCATCCTATATGGTCCTCTGAGCACTGCCAGGAGTGATTCCTGAGTGCAAAGCCAGGAGTAATCCCTGAGCATCACCAGGTGTGACCCAAAAAGCCCCCCAAAAATAATGAAATTAAATGAAAATTTTTTAAAAACCTAACTCAGTTTCCTTAAAACAAATTCTGTCATTGAAAACAGTGACTCTTTAGGTCATAATTTCATGAATTTGCTTATTTCTATATTGAATATTAGAATATACTAACTGAAATGTCAGGAAAAGTATGTTCTCATTGTTGACAGGATGATAACAGTAAGTTAAAATATATACTACATATGCAATGAGTGGAGACTTTAGACCAGAACCATTTTGAAAAGTTTCTTCCAAGTAATAAACAGATTTCTTTTCTAACGATGCAAATAAGGAAACTGCTGTCAAGAATCTATACATCAACCTATAAGTTGTGTTTACATGTATACCAAATGTCTTTGTATAAAATAAATCAAGTGACATTAGCAGTGAAGTATAAGGAATTAACCTGATTAAAAAATGAAGTTGGGTGAAACATGTTAAAATTTATAATTAAATAGACACTCAAAATTTTACTATGTTTATATTCATTACAGTCACTACTTTGGTAAAAGAAAGACCTAGTAGTAACATGATCACACAGACATTATAGAATGTGTGTGTGTGTGTGTGTATGCAATTAATTTTGTTGTAACAAAGCAACTCATAGCCATTTAATGTTTACAATAGCATCTTTTCTTTTCAATGAAGCAGAAACTTTAAATCCACAGGCAAAAAATTACATCAGAAAACATCAACTCCAGATAAGATCCTACAGGTTCTGCTGATTCTCCCATCTAATTGCAAGGCTTAACAGACCTCAGTGAAAACTGAGGTTCCGTTAGTTCTATTTTTGAGCATATTGTATCATAGATCAATGCTAGGGCTTAAAATTTACACACTGCCTGGATTCGAATCCTAGCACTATCACTTTACTAACCAAGTGATTTTGAGGAAAGCTACTTAAAGAGTGTTCAGGCCTCTGCCTGTTGATATGTCAATCTGATTCGCAGGAGCACTTAATATAAAAATTAACACACATAAAACACTTTGAACAGTGCATAGTACATTATAACCACCACCTAATAAATGGCAGATACTTTTCATATTATACCTATTTTCATATTAAATGACAAATATATACTCAAAGGTAGTTGCCTATTACAACTAGAAAGGAAAACTGATGAAAATGAGGCTGGTGAGGAAAAAAATGGTAACCCTGACAACTATTCTGGGCCCAGTTCACAAAGGTGATGGCCAAATTTCTCACTTTCTCAGCTACCAGTTCTATAAATTCTACATCCTCAAAATCTGTCTCATTTGCTCCCATCCCTTCTACCATTTCCTTGACCACATTCCCATTATTTCAATCCCAGCACACATAAACATCATTATTGGTACTGTGTGACATTTAAAACCTAGGTAGAGCGCTCTCTAAACAAAACCTGTCACCTCTTTAGAACATTTTATGAGTTTAACTTATGGTCAAGAATTTAACATAGAAAAGAAAAAGTGAAAGCAAAACTTAATGTCTTACACGCACCCAGCCCAGTTCAATCCCAGAACAACATGGACCTCTGAGCACTGCTGGGTGTGTCTCTGAAGGGCAATCCTGGAGGCCAAGGCACTGCAGCGTTTAACAGGATTCATCTGTGAAGTCCTATTAGCCAAGAAGCACCACGGGTGGCCCTTAGCTAAGCCCTGTGGGAACTACCTGAGAGGTCCCCTAGAGAGATTTTTAAAAATTCTGCTTAAAGGGCCACAAAAATAAAACAAGGGTTAAAGCACTGGCCTTGCACCCTGCATACCCAGTTCAAATCTATGGCACCACAAGTGGTTCCTTGAGCACGGCCAGGGGTCACTCCTGAGCAGAGAGCTAGGAAGAGGCCACGAGCACCTTCAGGTGTGGCCCCCACAGAAAACCAAAATAATAGTAAAATCAATTAAATGTGAACATTTATTAACTCCTACTATTTTCAAAACTAAAGCCAAGGATGATTTCTTTTCCTGATCTTTGAATCACAGAGAAATACAAAACTAAATTTAATAGGGCATTATATATTTCAAATGAAGGTTGATATTTACTCTTCTACCCATATCACCTATATTTATTGTACTAATGTACTGCATTTTAAACAAAAATATTTGCCTCTATTTTGTTCCACTCTATAATTATCAAAGAATTCCAATAAAATTTAGGAATAAATGACTCCCCCATGTGGAGATTAGCTTTCATACTCTCTTACAAGCAAGGCTGATAAGTCACTTAAGCTTTAATATGTGTAATTTTTAAGGTGACCTTCAAATATGAAACTGAAAGCAACTTTATGTCGATGAAAGGTAGTAAAAGATTGATTCTAAAGTAACAGAAAACTAGAGGATAACTGCTTAAACTATGCTTTAGAATAAAACTAAAAAACTTATGCTTAAAAATATGTCTAAAAGAACCATGACCTGAAATTTCATTTTTAGCTACAAATTAGCAATATTAAAGCTACTGGTTGATTTAGGATATAAGTAGGTGATTTATGAAAAATTTTAAGTTGCTTATTGAATAAGCAGTGTTTTAAAATAAACAATTTGATATGCAATTATACTTGACTCATTAAAAAATTTTAAATCTCAATTTATTGTGAAAAATGTATAAATCAGAAAGATGAAAGCTGAGAATTATGTTAGTGATTAAACTCCTGCTTTTAACTCTAATATTAAAGTTAAAAACAGGAATATAATTCTCTGAGATGTTAAAGCAGAAATTTATTTACTTAGAAACAAAATTCCCAACTCTTTAATATTACAATAGCATTCCACCTTCAGACTAGATTCACACGTATTCTTCATTTGTTTTACAGGGGTCAAACCGAGATAAGCTTAGAGAGGCCAAGACTATGGCCCAGTGATGCTGAGTGAGGTGGAGCCGGCCAGATGATTCAGAGTCAGGCCAGGTGATACAGTGGGTGCTTGAGGGTCAACAAAGCCATGTACACCCAGCTGTGCTGGGGGATTGTGAAGGACTCCAGGGCTTGCACATGCATTTCCACTGAGCTGTCTCCTGGTTCCCTCGTGCATATTCTTATTCTCACTTGCTACTGCTCAATTCTTTTCTTCAATTTTTAAAAATGCAAAATGTATTCATGCAACTGTTAAGGAAGTTCTTTCCCTTTGTCACAGAAAATATGAGAAAAGTGACAAATTCAGTTACCAGATAGAGCAACCACAGATAGAAATGAAAAGTCATGCTTGAGATTATCTGTGACAAGCTTCATTTGCTTAGAGTAAAGATTCTATGATCTCATTACACTGAAAGTAGATCTCCACTGTAAAATAAAGTAATAAATATGTGGGCCAGAGAGATTTTCCAGTGGTAAGTCACTTGCCTTCCTTGCATGCAGGCAACCTGGGTTCAATCTTCACATATGGCCCTCTGAACCCCACTGGAGTGATCCCTGAGTGCAGAGCGAGAAGTCCACCCTGAGCACTCGAGGGTATGGCCCAAACCCATCCCCTACTCAAAAAACAACTTAAGGGGCTGGAGTGATAGCTCAGCAGGTAGGGCGTTTGCCTTGCACGCAGCTGACCCAGATTCGATTCCCAGCATCCCATATAGTCCCCTGAGCACCCCCAGCAGTGATTCTTGAATGCAGAGTCAGGAGTATCCCTGAGCACTGAAGGGTATGGCCCAAACCCGTACCCCACTCAAAAAACAACATAAGGGGCTGGAGCGATAGCTCAACAAGTAGGGTGTTTGCCTTGCACACGGCTGACCCAGATTCGATTCCCAGCATCCCATATGGTCCCCTGAGGACCCCCAGGAGTGATTCTTGAGTGCAGAACCAGGAGTAACCCCTGTTCATTGCCGGGTGTTATCCAAAAAGAAAAAAAAAAACACTTAAAAAACAAAGGCACTAGGAAGTGAACAATATACTAATTGGAAGATTTTTTAAAAAATATTTGAGTTTGGGGCTGGAGTGATAGTACAGTAAGTAGGGTGTTTGCCTTGCACACAGCTGACCTGGGTTTGATTCCCAGCATCCCATATGGTTCTCTGAGCACCGCCAGGAGTAATTCCTGAGTGCAAAGCCAGGAGTAACCCCTGTGCATCACTGGGTGTGACCCAAAAAGTTAAAAAAAAAAGTGTGTTCACTGACAAGCTCATATTTTTGTCCACTGACAAGCTTATACAGATGTCACATATATATGGTATAGAGAATAACTGTAAGAAGAAATCCAAGGTATTTAACGGGGACAACTCGATCACCCTTGACTACGAAGAAGGACAGAGAGGGAAAGGAACTGGAGGGGAGGGAAAGGATAGCAAGAAGTAGCATAAATAAGGGGTAGGAGAGGTCAAGGGCCTCAGGTGCATCTGTGGCACAGAAAAGTGGTACACACCCAAATTTATGTAATTAACTGAATTGTATTCTGGGCTGCTTCACGAATGGTTTCAAAAAAGCAAAAAGTACTGAACTGACCCTTTCAAATTCAAACTTCAGTATCTGTTGTTAATTTAAATATTTTTTTATCTGTTAACATCACAAAACTATACAAATAAAGGTAGCTAGCAAATTTTGGGGACCCGATTAAAAAAAAAAAACAGCTAAGGTAAAAATTCGAATACTCACTTTGTTATTCTGAGTCACAAGAATACTTCCACCCCCTGGTTTCAAAGGCACCTCCTCCATTGCTCCAAACACATCAGTTTCAACTGAAAAAGTTAGCTCCAGACCCAGATCACTAATATCATTATCTAAAATCCATTGTAAATTTTTGGCATATTCTGGATCAATGGATGCCACATCTTGGTAATTTACAGGAATGCCTAGAAATACAAACAAATAGCAGTTATATTCTAAATGATTCAGTCTTTCCTTATCTGTTCAGTGGTAAAATACTGCCCTCTACAGATTTTCTGTAAAACTGCAAAATATTATCTAATTCTCTCTATTTTAAATTGCTACTAATTCTAAGCCTACAGGTAACTCATATAAGATTATTTCCTTCCTCTTTCACAGTGTGATCTTTCTTTAAAATAGCCATTTAGAATATTGTTATAAAAATCCAAACTGACAATTCTCTTAAGTAAAACATTATATACTGTATGTTGAGCAAAAACATGCAGAAAATTTTTTAACACTTTAACAAGACAATTGGTTGCTTATCTTCCCAAACTCCAAATATCTCAGTCTCCAATAAAAATAAAAATCATTTAGACGAAGATGTGGTTTACTTACAGAGAGGTAGAAATAGTTCTCTACTAAGTATTTTACAAAACTATTTCTAAAAAAGAAAAACTTCATAAAAGTACCACTAGAAATAATCATAGAGCCATACCAAGAATGTGCTTGTAGAATGATCTTGTGAAGTAAATGTTAACCAGCTGCCTGTGATTCAAAGCTAATCCTAAGATCTGTCCAGCAAACCGAAAATAGTTCAGATGATCAGGATTCACATAGGAGTTGCTATTAGGCTGAAAAGTTGTTCCTATTAAAATAAACACAAAGTGATTTCTTTTTAAAAATAGGCATACAAAAGAGAGATTATCTTAATTTTAACTCCCATAAGAAGTTTTTGAGGAATATATAACAGAAATAGGACAAGAAATTCAAAACATAATATTAATTGAAATACTTAGAGCAAATCTTTATGCAAAGACCAAATTTAAGAATACTTAACTGAACATACACTCTTCTTTTCCTAGGCAGCGTGGACAGAATTGCTAGGCTACCAATTAGGGCGGATACTGTCTCACTCATCTCTCTACAAGTGTAATACACTAAGTATTCACTGCTTTTCACTCTAAAAAGAATGGACCACTACTAGAGGAAAAACTAAAAATCTTAAGTATATAAATTTTGTTTTTTAGAGAAGGAGTGGTGGAGTTACACAACTGGCAATGCTCAGGGATTACTCCTGCTCGGTGTTCAGAAATTACTCCTGAAGGTACCATTACTGCAGGGAATGTTAGAAAGAACCCGGGTCAGCCGCATACAAGGCAAGCACCCTACCCATCATACTGTCTTGCCAGCCTTAGTATACAATTATTTTTAAGTGATAAACCTAGTCAATGAATGCCTTTTAATTATTATAAATTTAAAAAATCACCAAAGTCCACAAATCAACAAATATTTCCTTTAAAGAAACAGCAATGAAGTTAAAAGGAACAATTGGCAAGAGCAAAAGTTACCAACCAACATTAAATCTGATACAGGAGAGTATGATCCTACTGAAATGAAAAAGGTCTGAACACAGATGGAGGTAATGGTTACATAAAACTGTCAACGTATTTAATGCCACTAAATTATGTACTTGAAATGGTCAACATGGTCAATTTTATGCTATATTTTACAACAACGAAAAGGGTCTCAATAAAAAAATTCTAGTGAAATGGAAAAACCTACTATTAAGATCTCAGTTTTAGGGGTATGGTACCGCCAGCAGATCAATCTGTACCTGTGAGGTGAGTGCATCAGCAGCCTGATGGCAACATCAGACTTTCAGATGCCCCAAAATTGCTGCTGTGCCTTTGGCCAGACCCCAAAAACTTGGGGCAAAGTTTACCAAGAAAGTAAACGGCCAAAAGTTAGGTATGTGGGAGACACACCCACAAACCACCTCCGGCTCAGCTATATAATTGGAGGCATGGCCTCTCTGGTTCCTGATCGAAATGCTTAATGGCCATGAACCCAGAGACTCAGAAACCAATCTCATGGGAAGGGGGGGTGTTACCGGCTTGTCCTTCAGGCCTTACCAAGGTCACGAGCTGCCCTCCGCAAGCGGCTCTCTGGCATGGCCATGGCTCCAGAGGCAAAAGGACTTAATCCAGAACCCAGCAGCTTGCGGCAGAAAAGTGAATGGACCATTCGTTAAACTACGGCGCCATGTCTCCCCAGGAGAGAAAGGATGTTGCTCCCTTCCGCCTTTTTCCACCCTGGCAGCAAGGTGGCCGCCACCTCAGAGCTTATTGGAAAGCCAGGTATGAACCAGCGGTGAAGGGGCAACTGCAGTCTCATGGGAAGGGGGATGGTACTGGCACGTCCTTCACGCCCTACCGAGGTCACTAGTTACCACCCACGAGCGGCTCTCCGGCATGGCCATAACACCAGACACACAGAAACCAATCTCGGAATTATCTGGCTCTTTGCAGAAATCCAAAATCGTGGCTGCGTGACATTATATGATTCTCATAACCAGCTACAGAAAACAAAATATTTCACAATGCCTTTTCAGCAATTCTTATTGTTTGGGGGGAAATTCTAAACAATAATGGTGCATCTTTTGTCGAAATAATGAATGTAATCAATGTAGAGAAGAGTTAAGTAGAAATCTCTGCCTCACAGGCATTTGGAGGGATGGGAAGGGAGGTATACTGGGGTTCTTGGTGGTGAAAAATGAGTACTGGTGAAGGGAAAGGTTTGATCATTGTATGACCGAGACTTAAACCTGAAAGCTTAGTAACTTTTCCCACAGTGATTCAATAAATAAGTATAAAAAGAAAAAAAAATAAATAAAATTTTAAAAAAAATTTTTAAAAAATCTCAGTTTTAATTCTATCATTCATTTAAAAAAATATTGGGGCTGGAGAGATAGCACAGCGGGTGGGGCGTTTGCCTTGCACACGGCCGACCCGGGTTCGATTCCCAGCATCCCATATGGTCCCCTGAGCACCACCAGGAGTCACTACTTACCTCCCCTAGCTCTCTATATAAATCATTCTCTAAATACTTTCTAGGATATCTGCACTAAAACATAAGGAGTGGTCAAAAAAAAAAAAAACAGAAACAAATGGGAGCAGAAATCTTCAGAAAAGGAATAGTTTCAACTTGAAAACTAACTAACAGAAAGTTCATATTATGTTTTAAGTTCAAATTAATGTAACACTAATAGCTTTTTTAAAAAAATATTTATTTATTTATTTATTTATTTTGCTTTTTGGGTTACACCCAGCGATGCTCAGGGATCACCCCTGGTGGTACTCAGGGGACCATATGGGATGCTGGGAATCGAACCCGGGTTGGCCATGTGCAAGGCAAACACCCTACCCCCTGTGCTATTGCTCCAGCCCCTCTAATAGCTTTTTTTACTGTTTCAGAAAAACATTATTGCACAAGAAATTATCATTCTCATAATCTACTGGTAGTGATAGCACAGCGAGTAGGGTGTCTGCCTTGCACACAGCCGACCCAGGTTTGATTTTTCCATCCCTCTCGGAGAGCCTGGCAAGCTACTGAGAGTATCCCGCCCGCACGACAGAGCCTGGCAAGCTCCCTGTGGCATATTTGATATGTCAAAATACAGTAACAACAAGTCTCACAATGGAGACGTTACTGGTGCCCGGAAGAGCACATCAATGAACAATGGCAGGACAGTGCTACAGTGCTACTGCCATGTAATACTTAGGTTTCATTCCTAATTACCGGAAACTAGGCTAAACAATTTTACATGAATTATTAGTACAAAACATGTGTTGTCATTTTCAAATCAGAAAACCGAGGTCTAATTTTGTTAAGTTCAGTGTACTAAGTTCATAACATAAAGTGGGTAGAACACACCAGTTTAACAACAAAGATCAAATTCTTTACCACTATACTAGGTTAATTCCATGGTTAACATCTTAATTTGATTAGAAACCAAACTTAAAAGATAACTGACACTGGACCTATCCATATATAATCCTCTTGACGACAATAAAAAATTAGAACATATTAATACTATGTTCCCAAAGAGAAGACCTAGCTTATAAAATAAATCATGATCTTTATGGTACATATGCTGTCACATATGCTCTGCAATAAAACTGCAGTATAAAATACTTCAATTAATGATTCCATACCAAATCTATTTTTCAGTTATAGAACAGACTTAAAATACGGGACTATAAAACCGAAGTGATAGTACAGCAGGCTTGCACACATCTGACCCAGGTTCAATCTATACCACGTGGTCCTCCAGAGCACTGGCAAGAGTAATTACTGAGTGCAGAGCCAGGAGTGACCCCTGCACATTGTCACTGTCACTGTCCTCCCGTTGTTCATCGATTTGCTCAAGCGGACCCAGTAACATTGTGAGACTTGTTACTGTGTTTGGCATATCAAATACATCACGGGTAGCTTGCCAGGCTTTGCTGTGCAGGCAAGAAACTCTCGGTAGCTTGCCGGGCTCTCCAAGAAGGGCGGAGGAATCAAACTCGGGTCGGCCATGTTGGTTGCATGCAAGGCAAACAGCCTACCCACTGTGCTATCGCAGCAGCCCCTGCACACTGTAAGTTGTGCATTATATATATGTGTGTCTGTGTCAATATATATATATATTTACAATATATATACATTTGCTGTATAATATATACAGTATATATGTGTGTGTGTGTGTCTGTGTGTGTGTGTGTGTGTGTGTGTGTATACACACAGAGCTCTGGTAGCTAAAGACCTCTGGAACCCTGCCACAGCCATACTTGAGACCACTACCCACACACTCGGATGAGCCTCACGCATGAGGGAACTGGCAGAAGAACCCAGGTGTGCGGGACCCAGGGCTGAGATCTCCAAGCCTGCTTGGATCAGGACTGAACCTCCCTTACCCAGATCCCCCATCTTCCAGTAGCTAGGAAGTCTCACCCACAAATTGCCCCCGCACACCATGTAATCTCATCAACAGCCAAGATCCAGAGACTATAAAACCATGCTCCCTGAAGCTCACAGCCACATTTGCGACCATGCAACTTCTTATTGTCTAGTTCTCACTCTCGGAGAACCCGGCAGGCTACCAAGAGTATCCTGCCCGCATGGCAGAGGCTGGCAAGCTCCCCATAGCGTATTCGATATGCCAAAACCCAGTAACAATGATGGGTCTCATTCCCCTGACCCTGAAAGAGCCTCCAATGTGGCACTTAATAAAATCTCAGGGCTAGGACGGATGGAGACATTACTGGTGCCTGCTCGAGCAAATCAATGAACAACAGGATGACAGACAGTGATAGACTATGTGTGTGTGTGTGCGCGCGCGCACACGCACATACACACACACACAAACACGAGACTGTAAAAGAGAGAAACCTAAAATGCTGTAATACTAAACCTTCCTTCAAAGATGAGAACTAAATAACAAAACTTATAATCTCATCAAATTTTTGAAAAAATCACAAAGATAACAAATTTACTTCAGAGTTTACAAGAAGTTACAGAGTTAAAGCAGAGAACCCCATACTCCTAATTAATGTCAGAGTCCCAGAACATTACCTGTGTATTGCCATCACACAGATACCTGTAGTTCTCTAGCATCTCTGCAGCCTACCCCAGTTGCTCTGACAGTTATCCACCTTATTCTGTAGAGATCTGTAGATTAACTGATTTATACAATCAGAAGCCAGAGTTGGCAAGATATGCCTCCATCCCTCTTGGACAGCCAAGCAAGCTGCCAAGAGTAACACAGCAGAGCCTGGCCAGTTACCTATGGTGTACTCGATATGCCAAAAACAGTAACAACATTCCCCTGATCCTGAAAGAGTCCCCAATATGCTATCGAGGTACACTAGCACTCAACAAAGATGAATGGAGATGTTATTGGCGCCGGCTAGAGCAAATCGATGACCAACATAGATGACAGTGATAGAGTGATTAAAGAGTTAAGGGGGAAAAAAAAGAGTTAAGGAGCTATGGTGATAGCACAGTGGCAGATAACAGCCTTACATATTCTAGGCCCATAGTTTGATTCCCAGGAACAAGTGGCCCAGAAAACTACTGAATATAGTCCTAATGGTTACTGAGCATTACCAGACCCCAAATCTGTCAGGCCTGCACTGCCAGGCTAGGTAGAGCATTATCTGGAGTAACGTTAGGCCCACCAAACATTCCTGAGATAGAATGAATGAATCAATCAATTTATTAATATAAGATAGAGGATGAAAATACAAAAAAGAAGATATTTTCCGGGATATAAAAGCAACTATGCAAAGCACTTCAAAACTAAAATTCCCCTAAAAAACCCGCTTTTCTTCCCCCTGCCCCCTCCCCACACACACACAATGAGATTTTACATTCACTGGGATATCTAATAAGTCACAAAACTCTTCAGATACCCCTCACACAAATGAGGTGTAAGATTTCCATTAAACGAGTCTAATCAAACCACAATGCTAAAGTACCACTTAAACTGACACTTTCTAAACTCTGTTTAAGTAAGAGCTCTTTGGTTGTCAGATTGTAATCTTAAAAGACTGAAAATTAAAAACTAAGTTACTGTACATAAAAAAATTATAAAGTTTAAGATTTACTATTTACAACAGCCAATACCTGGAACAACCCAAATGCCCAATCACAAGTGAGTAGGGCAAACTAAGGAAATTTTGGTACATACACAAAATGGAGTATTATTTAACTATGAGGAAAGATGAAATTTTGAAGTTTGCTGCAATTTGGTTGGAGCTGGAGAGTGTCACGCTAAGCAAAGTGAGTTTAGAAAGTAAAAGATGTAGATTAGATGACTTTGCTCAGATTAGACAATTCCCGATGGAAACAGATCCTAAAACATGTTACAGTGCTCTGCAAAATAGCAATTTAATATTATTATAAACTATGATATCTCAATAAAAATACACAGAAAAAAAGATACATACTGAAATTGTTACAAATTGGTGGGGGGATGGGGCCATGATTTCTAGAATTAGGTTTTTATAACGAATATTAATACTTGAAAATTTAAATAAAAAAAGTTGGCAAATTTTAAATTTTTTTCCAAATGAAGATTTTTTACTTTTTAAATCTATGTGACAGCACCCTTTTTACAAAAGGAAAACCTAATTTGAAAAAAAGCCTGGGGGCCAAGAAGACAGTACAGTGGGTAAAGCAGTAGCCCTACATGCTGTTGACCCAGATTTGATCCCTGGCATCACTTCAGGTCCCTACACAACACCAGAAGAGATCTCTGAGTGCAGAGATAGAAGTAAGACTTCAGCACAGCCAGGTGTGGCCAAAAGAAAAAAAAGAAAAATTTTTAAAGTGAAATTTAATTTTATTTTACACAGGACTAATGAAACTTTCACTAGGCCAGCACTAGTCCTTGAAACAAGTTATCTGAGGACCAAGACTAAATAAGTTATATTTCGCTTATGATTCACCCACTCATTAACTATGTTAACATAAACAAAAACTGAATTTCAGTTTTCTCATCTATAAAATGAGAACACCATGCTCACAAGGTTACTGTGAGAACCACAGGATAAAAAGCACTGATATGTTTTGGAAATGTGACGTCACTGCAAAATGTCACCTAGACTGTAAAACTTACCATCCGCTGACTGGGTGAACAATGCATAATCAGGATTGACTATCTCATTAGACAGAATATCAAACCATTCACGCACAACGCCTTGACCCTGAGTTCAAAAAAATAAAGTATCAATAAAAAGATATTACATGGCAATTTATTTCTTAAAAAAAACAAAATCAAATTAATGTTTTCATTATTAATATCACATTTTACTCTATCTTTTATATAGAGCAATATCAATGACACCGATTTTTATACCCACCATGCCCTCTTCTCCATGGAACCGTACAGCAATCCCTTGTTTTAGCTTGGCACAATTTGCTTTAGACACAACTTCACAGCTACTCCTAAAAATAGAATCTAAATATGTAGCAGTGGTTAATTTTACATATTGAAATTTAGAACAACTATTATTTTGTACCTCGTATGCAAACCAATACATTCCTTATCCATACCTCTATGAACCAGCAGAATATCGTTTTCATTTACTGGTCTGTGCACCATGTCTGAATCTGGTTGTCCTGAATGCAAATGTTCATAGAACCATTCACAGCGATCTTTAAATGGCTAAAAAGGAAAGAAAAAAGTCAGCAGTATTTAGTCACCTACCTGTCCAACTGAACTAGCATGCTAAACTCTTTTTTTTATATTAATTTTTATTAGTGAAACACCATGAGGTACAGTTGTAGATTTACAAATTTTAGTGCTTGGGTTTCGATTATACAATGATCAAATACCCATCCCTCCACCAGTGCCCATTTTCCACCACCATGGATCCCAGTATCCCTCCCACACCCATCCCCCCATCCTACCCTGCCTCTGTGGCAGGGCATTCCCTTTTGTTCTCTCTCTCCTTTTGGGTGTTGTGGTCTGCAAAAGATGCATTGAGTGGCAAACATGTTCGGTCCATAGTCTACTTTCAACATGCATCTCCCATCCTGGGAGAATCCTCCAAACACCCTTTATTTGGTGCTCCCTTCTCTATCTGAGCTTCCCTTTCCCCTAGAATGCCCGGCTGGCCTCTAAGCCATGAAGTAATCCTCCTGGTACTGATCTCGGCTACTCTTGGGTATTAATCTCCTATTTTGTTACTTTATGTCCCCCAGATGAATGCAGTCTTTTTATGTCTATCCCTCTCTTTTTGACTCAATTCGCTTAGCATGATACTTTCCATGCAGTACCACTTGTATGTAAATTTCATGACTTCATCTTTTCTAACAACATGCTAAACTCTTAGCACTATAGATCTCTATGATAGTTGATATAATGTTCTGAGTATATCAAATAAAAATTACAAAAAGATTTTATGCCTAGTATACCTAAAAAAACTACCTTATATTTTCTCAAAAGAAAAAAAAACTGAAAAAAGAGAAAGCTATATATAAGATCTTAATATCATATATGTAAATAGAACACATGAATCTTTCTTTTAAACCCAACAAATCTCATATAACGCTTCACATCAAGAAAAATTATGTTGCATGTTCCATTATATTTCTTATGAAAATAATCTTTCTTTAATGCTTATTTTTTGGGCCACAACAGCAATGCTCAGGGGTCAATCCTGGCTCTGCACTCAGGAATTACTTCTGGTGGTGCTCAGGGGACCATATGGGGTTCTGAGGATCAAACCTGGATTGGTGGCAAGGTAAGCACTTTATCCACTATACCATTTCTCCAGTCCCTGAAAATAATCTTCATACATGTATTTTTTTTATAATTTCAGAATATATGCAGTAACTATAAAAGAATGGTTTCCTTTTTCCTCTTCCCCTACCCTAAAAGTTGAAAAATAAGAATCCATTACATATTAAAGAGTATATACTTGGCTCATCAGCCATATCCACAAAGAGCAAGTGATTTGTAAATTTTTTATTAATCAAAAGCATTAGTGAGTACTTAGTATGTACCCATATACTGCAGGTAACATAAAAGTCATAAAAATTCTAGTGTCAGACCCATGTATATAGCTCAGCATTAGAGCATATGCCTCTAAGGCCTTGGGTTTGACTTCTAGTACACCAAAAATTAAAAATAAAAAGCCCCATTTCACTGTTAAAAAGCTGGAGAAGCCAGGGAAATAGGACAGTGAGGAAGGTATTTGCCTTGCACTTGGCCAACAGAATTCAACCCCCAACACCACATATGGTCCCCAGCCCCACCAGAAGTGAGCATCAATGCATGTGACCCAGAAAACAAAAACAAACAAACAAACAAAAAACCTTAGACTGGAATAATACAGTATATATAAAACACTGCGTTCCAAACATTACAGTACAGCTATATAGTACAGTTATATATGCAATATATATTATTACAGTTGGCAGCAACTGTAATAATATATATTGGATGAGAAGGGCCTGCTCATCAGAGGAAAGAGGAATAGTAAGGTAAATCTGAAAGACATTCCTTTGAATAAAGTGAAAAGCAAGAGCAGATCTCTAAACACAAGAACTCAAAATGAAAAAACCTCAGGAGGAAAAAGCTCTCCTAACAATCTATCCCCAATTCTGAGAAGGCTCTAGAAAAATGTTAGTAAAGATAATGAATGTTCTAAATTTGAGGATATCTGAGATACAACTGTTAAGGACCTGGAAATAAAGACTGTGTTGGATCTGAAACACTGGAAAAAATAATGGAGAAAATTCAAGCTGGTGACAGGATAAGGTCTCTTGTTTGGAGACTAAAGAAATAGAGAACATGGTCAGCGTGATAGTACAGCAGGCAGAGAACTTGCCTTGTATGCTGCCTACTCGGGTTTAATCCCCACTACCCAATATGGTACCCTGAGCACTGCATGGAGTAATTCTTGAGTGCAGAACCAGGAGTAATCTCTGAGCACTGCAGGACGTGACCAAAAAAATACAAAACACCAAGAGAAGTTTATGATCATAGGTCAGGGAGAATTCAGTGAGCAAATGGTTAACACAGTGAGAAGAGAGAAAAAGGAGAACCAATAATACAATAGCCAAGTTTCAAAAGATAAATATGACCAATATCTAACATCCCAGAGAGGTTATCTACCAGGCAGTTTTTAAGGCACCAGTAATTATCTTATACTGAACTAAACTAAACAGTAATTTTTCCCTTAAAAACCAAGATGCATGCCCAGAGCCTTGGACTCAACTAACATTGCAACAGACCCCCAACAGCCAGCTAGAGAAAGACCCTCAGGGATATTTGAAGCGAAACAAGGAAAGCCTCTTCAACAAACCGCATTGGACAAACTGGGCATAACATGGAAAGAAAAAGGAAAGAAGGAAGGAAAGAAGGAAGGAAGGAAGGAAGGAAGGGAGGGAGGGAGGGAGGGAGGGAGGGAGGGAGGGGGAGGGGAGGGGAGGGGAGGGGAGGGAAGGGGAGGGGAAGGAGGACTCAGACCTCTTTCTAATGCCATGCACAAAAATCAAATCAAAATGGATTACAGATCTCATCATCAGATCTGAATCACAAGGTCCAAAGACGAATATATGGGCAGAATTCTCCATGACACTGATGTTAAAGGCTTCTTTAAGGATGAAACCCACTGACCAAATAAGTGGAAGCAAGGAAAAACAAATGGGACTACATTAAATTAAGAAGCTTTTGTACCCCAAAGGTACTGATGAGAATATAAACACAGCCCATGGGCTGGGAGAAATTACTTGCCCACCACTATTCGTGGTGGGATAATTTAGGGAAGGGAATGCTAAAATGGGAGAGGAGAAAAGTGCCTGCCCCAGAGGCAGGCTGGGGTGCAGGAGCGAAACCGGGAGCATTGGTAGAAGTTAGTGCACTCTGGTAAAGGGATGGGTGTTGAACACTGTATCCCTGAAACTCAATCATGAATATCTTTGTAACTATAATTCATGGTGATTAAATTTTTTTTAAAAAACTTAAATATCACTTTTAATTAATTCTCAATAAAATTATTTATTTGGGAGATTTGACATTTAATATCTGCACTTTTAAATTAAAAGAAAAGAGTAAATGTTTCCACAGGGAGTAGCCTTTCAGCAATGCTCAGGAGGTGTGGGGGCCCCTCCTGGCCACACACGCCCCAGATCTGAGACTCGGTGGAGTCAGTGCTTAGGCCCCGCAAGGCAGTGCTGCCAGGACCCAATGGTGCTTCCCTTTCTTTAAATTTAAATGCATGACTTTGCACATAATTCTAACAGTGCTCCATATTTTCTTTTTAATAAAGCAGTGCTTTATCAGATTTACTGTTGGATTTATAAATTGAATTTGTTCATTTTTATTGTTTCAAATAAATTATTTTCAGTCACCGTGAAATTATGGAGTTATTCATGATTGGGTTTCGGGCATGTAATTTTACAACACTGATCCCTTCACCAATGTCCAACTGCCCTCCACCAACCAATGCTCCTCACCACCCCATCTGCCTCTCTCTCTCATCAGTCTACTTCTATGAGAGGTGCTCTCGCTCGCTCGTGCTCTCTCTCTCTCTTTCTCTCTCTCTCTCTTTCTCTCGTTACTGAGAGGGTTTATATTAGACGCTACCACCTTTCAGCAACACCTATTCCTCCCAGTTACAAAATACCAGTTCTCATGTTCTTTGTTTCCATTGTCCTTGGGATTCATAAAGACTAAACTAGATTGCAAAGTGCCCAATATCAAGAATTTCATGCTGATTATTTCAAAAATTCAGTAAAACAAGAGAGAAAAAATTATACATAAATCATATATTTAAGCATAGACTTTGAAGTCTGATAAAAAAATAAATAAATAAATAAATAAATGCCTATAGGGATAGTACAGTGGGTAGGGTACCTGTCTTGCAGGTGGGCTGGGTTCAATCCCCAGTACCCCATATGGTCCCCACCAGGAGTGATGCCTGAGTGTAGAGCCACGAGGAAGCCCTGAGAACAGTCTGGTATGGCTTGAAAATAAAACAAAATTTTGAAAATGCCTGTAAGGGCAGAGAGATAATACAAAGGCTAAGGCACCTCTTAGCAGGTAGTTTGCAGCTGAGACCCGACTGGAATCTGGGGACCACATATGTGTATACACACACACACACACACACACACACACACAAACACACACACACACACACACACACACAAGCCAAAGGGCACATTATCATATATGCAAAGTAGGACCTAACTTTCCCTAAGATAATTCACAAAATTTAATTAAAGAGTTTTCTCTCAATAGAATTTTCTCAGCAACACAAAACGTCTCTTTTAATTCCCAGTCACCTGAAACCACTAACAGAACAAGATCACTTGTTCGACAGGACCACTGCTAAGGGAAAAGCCTTTAAGTGACAGAAAATTTCTAAGGACATTATAGCATATAAAGTAAGGTTTTTCCTGATGTGAGAGCAAACTGCAACGTGATGCCCACTTTTAAACACGTCAATCTGTATTTCTTACAAATAAGAGAAGTTGCCTACAAAAATGACAATAGCAGCCCCCAAAACGAAAATGACTCAAGATTACTGACTTAATCCTTAGACCCATTTCAAGTTATGCTGATTTCCCATTAATCTCCTTTATAGTTCAGCTCAGCTTTTACTCAGGCGCATAGAAAAACTTTGGTTCTTCTTTACTCTCATTTCATTCCTTTCATTCCCTCTCCTCCCTGCCATCCCCCCCCACCGCCCCAGGGTGTCTCCCCCCACCGCATCCCCCTCCATCCAACTCTGGTTCTGTCAAGCTACTCACAGCACCGTGACCACTGTCTACACAGATGTCCTCCACATGCAGCTCTAAGTCACAAAGTCCATACTCAACCCCTCCTCTATCAGCCCCTTCATATCTGGCCGAACCTCTAAAACCACAGTGCCTGGCTACTACACCTGTGGACCATCGCCATCCTAGTAAGGCAATCAAAATTCCCTCTATAGGACAAAAGATGAGAGAGCTATGCAGAGGGAGAGACAAGGGGATCCAAAAGCAGAGAGGGTTTTAAAAGAAAACGCCTTTTCCAACACTAAAATCTTTCACCTAAAATCTCATTTGTACTAGAACACTGTTACACAGTTAAAAATAAAAACTCAATCCTGAGAGATGATACAGAGATAATACATGCAGCACACCTGGGTTCAATCTGAGGCACCCCTTAGGGTTCCCCAAACACCATTAGGAATGATCCCTGAGTGTAGAGCCAGGAGTAAGCCCTGAGCACCACTAGGTGTGATCCAAAAACCAAAGGGGAAAAAAGTAGAATCTCCAGTACCACAAAGAGTCCCCTGAACACCATCGGGGCTTACTCTGAGCATAGAGTGAGAAACAACCCCTAAGCACTGTCAGGTAGAGTCCTCCCATGTGGTCCACTGATCCCACCAGGAGTGACCCCTGAGTGCAGAGTAAGCCCAACACATAGCTGGTGTGGTCCCCAAACAAACAAAATTAACAAATGGTCTCCACAAATATAAACACAGTATTATCTTATTACATCTAAACTGTAGCCTTCCGTTTATCATATACTTCTGACAAATCTGACAGATTTTCCAGAATCATGTACATTTTCCTGCTTAGTAAACAAGGAAAAGGCCTTAATCTAGCAACCAAGGTTCAATACACACGACCAACCTACCTTTCCAGATTTCTACCTCATTCCTCACCCAAAGTGTTGACTTCATCAATTAGAATTCTGTCACCTTCCCATCTACATAACTTGGCTAGAACATTCATCTTCTCCATTTTATCCCATGAGAACCCTGCATATTTTTTCACAGTCCAGCTTAAAATCTTGACCTTTTGGCTAGGATCAAGTACAAAAATCCACCTCCTCTTTGGAATTTCCCTTTGGGAAAACAGCTGGTAGTAAGTTCTCCCTCCCTTAAACTCCTTAAGAGACAGGCATAATTACTCATTTTGTTCTGTTTTGGGGTCACACCCTGTGGTGTTCAGGGACTACTCCTGGCTTGATGCTTTGGGAATCGTAGAATCACCACTGAAACTTTGAGCTCCAGCATACAAAGCATGCATTCCAGTCCTTTAAGCTATTTTTCAGGTCCTGTAATGACTATTTTATAGAAATTAACTCCCCTTGCTTGACTGAATTGTGATGTCCTAGCGAGTGGAGACATGCTTTCTATCTCTGAAACAAGTGTTATTTATGGACCATGCATACCAACCACTATTCAAAATTTATCCTCCACAATAGTTTTATGAGACTGCTATCATTACCTTGATTTTCTAAATGAAGAAGGCTACGCTCAAAGTGAGAAATGTGCCCCAAGTCACACAGTTGGGAAGGAGCAAAGCAAGAATTTTCCCTAGAATGTTTCATTCATGAGACATGAGAAAAAACTGAAACTTGGTGAGGGAAAAGTTCCCAAGTCAAGTAAGTCTGGAGAATAACAAAATAAAATCACTACTTTTGCCACAGGATTTCTCAAAGCTGCTAATATGATTTACTTTATAAACCTCCAAAAGAGCAAATATATTTCCTAAATGTATTGGGGAATAAAACTTTTCTCAAGGACCAACAACCTTACAGGAATTAAACTGGCATGGAAGAAGTAGCAGTGTGTTCTGCTTGCTAGCTTTGCACAAGTCTTGCACATAGTAAACACTCGATAAACACTTCTTGGAAAAGAAACATGATCCCCTGATGCTAAAGTAGCCACACTAAGGTCATATTCTTCCAGATCCTTAAGACAAAAGTAAGTTCAGCCCCTTTACAGCAGATCCCAATACACTGTAATTACTTCACTAGGCAGCATTTTCATATTAAAAATTAATTTTCACTTAAACTAAAAAAAAAAAAAGACTAAGATAAAGTTTTACCTGTGCTTTTATAATGTGCATGAATCGTGACATCAACTCAGGACATTCAAGGAGGAAATGAAAGTGGTCAAATATAATTTTGGGATTTCTGAAAGAAAAATATATTTTGTTTAAATAGGTGAGAAGGATGAATAGCATTAAGCAAAGAGAAAATTCAAACACAACATTCTGAAAAAGAAGAAAAACAACTATAAATACACACCTACTAAGCTTTCTCTTGTCACTGATCACTTTTTGAACAGTTAAAAAAAAACACAACATTTTAGTCTTACCTGTTAACAAAGCATTTTAAAACTTCATCATGTTTGCAGACAAATTCAATAAAACGAGGGGAAGTCATTCTGTGGATGGTGAACAGAGTCATTACACATAAAGGAAAGTGTCGATGTAGCAAATTTGATAACTGTTCAACTGAACTGGCCTCTAGGTGGCAAAAGAGTAATTTGGGTTTGAATCACCTATGAATTTAGGAAATCAAGACATTCAATTTATAAAATTAAAAATATCTAAATATTCATTAACAGATAATCAAAGCAAGTGAGTTTTCAAAATTCTTAAAATTTCTGGCATCTCTGCTCTACATATTCTGAATGCTTAATTAAGTAACCTTCATACCAGTCTACTTTTAATGACACGTGCCTAAAACTCAAATATTTCATAATAATAATAAATGTGTATAATGAGTATCAAAACAAAATCAAACAAAATCAAACTAGAACCCAAAACCAAATTATCATTTTTTGTTACCAAAAAACTTATCAAAAAAAAAAAATCAAAAGCTTTTCTTCACCTACCAAAAGAAGGAAATAATAAGCAAAAACTTTCTTACCCTGGAGGCATCTGACAAGAACAGCACATGTAAAAGGCTTGAATGACAGCACTTAGCCGGTTAGCTGTCATAGAAATAACATCCTGACAGTCTGCACTGACTTCCTGTTTCCCTGCCAGAGCATCTGGTTTAGATTCCCCTGTATCAGTGGAGAGATTTTCGTAGCTCCCTGGTCCTGGAGGTTCAAATGGAGGAATGGAAGCACCATCTTGATCTTGGCCTTTTTGTTTCAGTAAAATAGACGTGATATCTGTCGAGTCCTTCTTGTTTTTCATCAATTCTGTAGCTATTAAAACTAGCCATTCATCTAATGAGTGCCAAAGCAACTCTAGAGGCTAGGAGGAAAATAAAGAGTGCTTTCAAACATCATTTTTCGACTCCAGAGAAAAAACCCACAGCAGCAAACAAATGCAGCAAAAATTTACATCTATTTTTCCAAGTTAATGTACCAGTATTGTTTGAAAGTAACAAAAAACATACAAATATCAAATATGCATACATATGTATAACTTCTTCACTTAGACAAAAAATTTATTTTGCATTTATTCTTTGAAGCAAAAGTGGCAAAAAAATTAAAATAATATTTCTTCTTTTAAAAAATGTCAAATACTTAGTTTGGGGGAGGAGCGATGGCACAGTGGCAGGGCGTTTGCCTTGTGCAGAGCCCGCGCGGCTGAGCCAGGTTCGATACCTCCACCCCTCTCGGAGAGCCAGGCAAGCTCCCGAGAGTATCTCGCCCGCAAGGCCAAGCCTGGCAAGCTACCCGTGAGGTATTCGATATGCCAAACACAGTAACAAGTGTCACAATAGAGACATTACTGGGCCTGCTCGAGCAAATCGATGAACACCAGGAGGACAGTGCAGTGCAGTGTTACTTAGTTTGGAATCATAATTTCTTTTATATAAACAACCGCCCCTAATGTTCACTATATTAATGGAAGTTCAACAATTTTCAATTGTCTATCTTTATTTAAAAAATTAAAATTCCTAAAAGCCTAACAATTCTTTGCAGGCAATTCCTACAAGTTTGAGAATAGCAAGGAATTTTAAAGTATAGCAAATGTGTATACACTCACAAAACTACTTTAATAGCCAAAATAAATTCTATTAAATACTAATAATTACTAACCAAAAACAAAATTAATAAGTTCTACATTGCAAGTGAAGATTAAGATATATGATGTAATTTTATATTATAAGAATATAGAATAAACTTATTTCTACATCAATTCATACTTCATAAATTAGCAGCAAATGAAACTTCATTTAAAAAATATTGGGGCTGGAGCAATAGCACAGCAGGTAGGGCGTTTGCCTTGCGTGCGGCCGACCCGGGTTCGATTCCCAGCATCCCATATGGTCCCCCAAGCACCGCCAGGAGTGATTCCTGAGTGCACAGCCAGGAGTAACCCCTGAGCATCAGCTGGGTGTGACCCAAAAAGAAAAAAAAATATATATATATATATGGTCACAGCAGAGCTTAGTATTAGAAAAATAAACATACATCTTACCTCTAATAATCAGTAATTTTTAAGACAAATACAACTGTCTAAGTACTATAAACAAACATCTTTACCAGGGACCTAAGGCACAGCACTGTGACTAAAATTCTCAATACTTCATTATGCATCTGAAAGCTACTATGCAAGTAGGACTTTAATATTCTCACTATCATAACAACAATAAAATTTTATTCATGTGCAGGGAAGGATGTGCTAAAACTAGCTATCGTGGTAAATACTTTCAATCTGTAAGTGAATTAAATCATCACATGTACACCTTAAATTTACAGCATATTCTGTATGTCAATTATACTTCAATGAAGTCAGGGTGAAATTAAGTTAAAATTCTGAAAAAATTTAATTCAAAATAGAGATAATCATGTGGGTAAGGAGAATAAATTATAGCTAAATGGTCCTTCATTCATGTGTACTAGATGATATATTCAAACTGAGAACAATAAACTTTCTGCAAATTAATGTAACAGTTATCTCCACTTTTCATTTCTTATGTGATTACAGAATGCTACAGAACTTAACCATTTGCTCCAGAAAGTCCATCTTTACAACATTTTATCTGAAATAAATAATCCTACTTTTAAAGACTGGTAAAGGTAAAGGTAAAGGTAAAGGTAAAGGTAAAGGTAAAGGTAAAGGTAAAGGTAAAGGCCCTCCCGTTGATCGTCGATTTGCTCAAGCGGGCCCAGTAACGTCTCCATTGGAGACTTTGTTGTTACTGTGTTTGGCATATGGAATACGTCACGGGGAGCTTGCCAGGCTCTGCCGTGCGGGCGAGATACTCTCGGTAGCTTGCCGGGCTCTCCGAGAGGAGCGGAGGAATCGAACTCGGGTCGGCCATGTTGGCCACTTGCAAGGCGAACGCCCTACCCGCTGTGCTGGTATGAAGAGATTATGCAACTGTATTTGGAACTTTGGAAAAAGTTTTAAATCACTTGTTCTGCCAGGAAATTCTTTTCTATTATTATATTTTTAAAAAATTTCTCTGCTGTATCTTCATCCTTTCTTCATATTTCCAGAACAGTCCCTCCTTCAGGAGATTTTACTTATTAAATTTGTAAACAATTAAATGCCACATAAAAGCCTGAAACATTAAAAATGTGAAAACATTATAAATTAAATACCCCTGAACCAAGTGTCACAATGGAGACATTACCGGCCTGCTCGAGCAAATTGATGAACAACGGGAGGACAGTGAGACAGTGACTGATTCAACAAATATTTAGTTACCACAAGTTAAAGCTGACAAGTAAACAAAGTGAAAAGCAAATCATGTCCTAAGACTGAAGTGAGGGTGTCTCTCTCTCTCTTTCTCTCTCTCTCTCTCTCTCTCTCACACACACACACACACACACAAAGTCACAGCTGCCCTAAAAAAGATACTGTCGTTGAAAGTACATTAACTCTAATTATGATCCAAATTGAGTCTATACAGCCTCTTCCTTGGGCACAACATAGAATCTTCTGTAAAAGATGGGAGTGTTTTATGGGGGTGGAGGACAGAGGAATGTGAGGATTATAACTTTCATTGAGCAAAACTATTGAGGTTTATACATCAGAAAGCACATGTCCAAAATTGAAAGAATAGGTGGTGGTGTAAAACTGTTTGAAACAAAAGAGAAGAGAAATAATTAGCCTCTAAATGAGAAGGGCTAAATGGGGAAGAAACCTGAATCGGGAAAGGATACTAGCCACTCATGCACATTCCAGCAATGAACAATCCAATTTGCAAATACTGACAAGTTGCAAAAATTTAAATAATCCAGAAATAAGATGAACTCCCAGATGTCTGTAAAAATGATAGTGACCAAAAAGATAAATAAATAAATAAATGGAAAAGCTACCCAAAAAAAGTTTTCCCAATGGTGGGGGGGTGGGGGGTAGGGTGGGGAACGAGGGAGGGAGGGTAAGGAAAAGATGGTACAGTGTTTAAGGTGTTTGCCTTGCACACAGCCGATACCCGTTTGATTCCTGATACCACATAAGGTCCCCTGAGCACAGTCAGGAGTAATCCCTGAGCCCCACTGCATGTGGCCCAATCCCAATCTTGATCTCCCCCTTTTGCCCCCTGCCACACTTCCTATAGTTTGCAATAAAGAAACACAGCAAAGAATTAGAAAAGGTGAGAGGGAAAAATCACAGTGGAACTTCCTTTTCTATTTCATACCCTTTCTTTCTTAATTCACAAATACACTAAAACTAAACCTTAACCCAAGAAGTTATCCCTTCGAAAATTTGTTCAGGTAATTCATGTCTCAAGGACAAAAAAAAGAAAAAAGAAAAAAGAAAAAAAAAGCGCACTGGTAAAATAACTTTGACTTAATTTCTAACTCTGATAGCAGTTACAGACAAAAAGGATTTAAAATAAAATCTAAAACCTAAAACCAAATGATTGCAAACTATCTTTGTTTTCTGTATCTACAACAAGAAAAATAACTAAAATGAATAAAAAGCAATGTGCATGTTGATAATTAATAAAATAGGTCAATAAAATGAAAATTGCTAGCAGACTTCATGATACTATGGAAATATTACTTTATGTTTTATTAGTGATCTTAATTACAGAATTATATTCTACACATAGTGAAACTGATATGACATTACTCACTATATCTAAAACATTCCAAGGTGTATTTCAAAATTATAATCAAACTTTGTCCAAAAAACTGAAAAAAGAACTTCCAAGATCCATATTGTTGAAGTGAGAAATAAATCTGATAAGAGAACACTACCAATGGAACATCATCAATAGTACCTTAAAATCCTTTTTCAGATGATGATGTTTTCAAATTGATAATATCAAATATTAAAATCCAAGAGATTTTAAATTTAAAAGATTTTCAATCTTTCATGGCATTCAAATTTTCCCTATCAGAATTCTAGAAAACTGTTAATAGTTACATCTTTTATTCACACACAAAAAAGAACACACCAAAATTCAGGAAAACTCCACTATCTCCCACTATCCACCTTTCAATAACCAGAACTACCTTCTCCTTCAGATACCCCAAAGTTTTCAGTTTAGATTTAAAAAAACATCTCTTAACACTAAAAAATATTGCTAAGTGTTAACATTAACCTAAAAGAACTTCTAAAATAAATCAGAAAACTAACAACAGGATGTTATACAATTTCACCTACTCAAAACATATGGTCTATAAACCTAGTCATTCTTAATGGAAAACCCATTAGTTAATCCTAACAATAAAGTGACATGTTCAGAGTTCCGAGTTAATGAAATAGAAAGTAGGGGTCAACTGCTACTCTAGACAAAATGTGGTAAAAATTAAAACCATTATTTCCAGTCTAACATTGCAGTAACTCAGCAAATGGTTAAGATTTTGCAACTTAAAACTGAAAAAACTCATAAATAACAATGTAGTTTTAATTTTTATCCTTATGAATGAGAAGACTGTTTTGCTATATCCCCAATATACATATTTAATTCATAAAATTTTAAAAAATGACTAATTTATTTCTTAGGAGTGACACCTGTTAATATTTTTAATTAACTTTTTGTAACAAAAATAGTTTACCACTTCAATGATAATACGTATGGTGTTCGAATAACATAACATGAAAGGTGTGATTAACAGTACTGTAAATTCCAGTACTTCAATAAAAGTACTTAAAAAAATAAAATATTCTGCCAAAGTGAGGTCAAAAGTTAGAAGAAAAGAAGTGGACAGAGGCAAAATCAATGTTAATCCTATTGAAAAACATTTTGAAAGATCAAGATACTATTGTATGGAATAAAGTACATGAGAAACATATATACAATATGTATTATATATACCATTTATATGGGCTGGAGCGATAGCATAGCGGGTAGGGTGTTTGCCTTGTACGTGGGCTGACCCGAATTCGATTCCTTCACCCCTCTCGAAGAGCCCAGCAGGCTACCAAGAGTATTCTGCCTGCACGGCAAAGCCTGGCAAGCTACCTGTGACGTATTCGATATGCCAAAAACAGTAACAACAAGTCTCACAATGGACATGTTACTGGTGCCCGCTTGAGTAAATCTATGAACAACGGGAAGACACTGCTACAGTGCTACTATATATATATATATATATGTATATTACATATTATATATGCCTTTGATAAATGACAAAACAGAATGTGGATTACATACTCTAAAAAGCTAAAAGAAAAACTTTTACCTTTCTTATTGGTTTTTTTTTTTTTTTTTTTTTTTTTTTTTTTTTGCTTTTTGGGTCACACCCAGCAATGTACAAGGGTTACTCCTGGCTCTGCACTCAGGAATTACTCCTGGCGGTGTTCAGGGGACAATATGGGATGCTGGGAATTGAACCCAGGTCGGCGGCATGCAAGGCAAATGCCCTATCTGCTGTGCTATCGCTTCAACCCTCTTATTCTATTTTATCCTTTCTTATTCTGTTACATCTACACTAACTGGCAGACAGAAAAAAATCATTTAAATAAAAAACAGAAAGCTATAAAGAAGCTACTTATACAAGTTTACTTTCTATTGTAATTTGAGAAAAGGTAACATTTTGAAAATGTATTTGCCTGGGAGTGAGCTACATGCTACATGCTAGGCAAGAGCCTAAACCCTAGCGCATCTCCTGCTCAATATAACCAAATTTTAGCCAAGTAAAAGAGATCAGTCAATAATGAATATAATTTATATCCAATTTGAATAATGCTGATCTTGCCTACAGTTTATCTGCTAATTCATCATTAGAAATGAGTAGAAAGTATCAAACCAGAAAACTGAATTTGGGCAGATTCAATTACAATTGAAAGTTATACTAGAGCATGTAAAGAACAATATCACGGAATGCTAATGTTACATTTATTTTTGGTTTACTCTTTATTTGAGGTGGGGAGGGGAGAAAACAACTGGCAGTATTGGGGGCTTCATGTAGTGCTAGAAGGGTGGGAAGGCATATGGTACCAGGGACAGAACCAAGGGCTCCCACATGCAAAGTCAGAGCTCCGACCCATAGAGCTTACTCCCCAGGCCACAATGTGAATATGTGAGCAGTAAAACTCTCTTAAAAACCCCACTGACCAGGGCTAGAGCGGTAGCACAGCGGGCAGGATGTTTGCTTTGCAAGCGGCCGACCCGGGTTCGATTCCCAGCATCCCATATGGTTCCCCCAAGCACCGCCAGGAGTAATTCCTGAGTACAGAGCCATGAGTAACCCCTGAGCATCGCTGGGTGTGACTCCCCCCCAAAAAAGAAAAAAAATCTCACTGCCAAGTTCAAAATTTACAAAACAGTAAATATTCTAGGCAGTCCAGGCTTCTGTGTGAAAAGCTACTTTAAATTATAAGATGCATAACTTCCTTATTCCAGAAGGTGGCAGAATAGGGGGTGGGGGGACGTGCAGGGAAAGGAAGCTGAAAACACACACAGCTGAAAATGCTAGCCAAGCTTGAAAACGAGTGAAGCAAACAGGTGCACAGAAAATTATATATAACTTTCTAAAAGAATATCACACCTAATCTAGGGGTTAAAGAATCTATAAGAATCAACAAAAACTTGCAAATTTGTATTCATTTTTAAGATCTGCCCAAAAATACTTGTAAGGAAAAGTCATTTTACATAAATCAATAAATGAATTTCAAATTTTATGAACAGTAAAGTTGTAAATAATAATATTCAAGGAAGTGATCAATTTTAAATGTCCACATCACTTTGGGGACAGAAAACCTGTATACTCAAAAGAAATTCATCCAGTCATGAATTCAAAAGCAAATTTTTTTAATATAAAATACATGAATAGTACCTACACTATACATTTATCCCCAATATGAGTTATCTGAAAATATAACGCTACAAAAATAGTATTAACTTAACAATTACCTTTTTTACTTCATGAGTAATAGCACTGCCTTGGGTTTTATGTATATGTAATCATTCTCCCTATGATCCCATTGAGAAAGTTGCTCTTATAGAAGAGCTGAAACAATACAATATACAATTTCTTAAATACTTAAACAATCCTTCAAGTGTTAGTAAGCCCTCTGAATGAAAGTGACTTGGATTTAGATTGCACTGTGTTTACTCTTCAAATAAAACACTAAGAAAATTAAGTTTTCTTCTATTAGAAAAATATATAAAGCTCACCCATTAAGACTTGCTGTTGATTAGACAGAGATGAAAGGAAGAGGTGTGCCTAACGTAAAAAGTGATACAGGCATAAACCAAACTTACATCATGTTTATGAGGTTTCTGATTAATGAATGCATGCTTTGTCAAAGTCATCTCTTTTACGTCTATCTTCCTAATTACGTCATATACTTTTCTGACCTTGAACACCTGGCTTCTTGGGGTCTTATTTCCATTGTAACCCATATCGATTCCATTACTGGGAGAGGATGGCCCAATCCGGAAGACATGACAAAATATCCTCACAATCCTTAAAAGGCTCTTCATCTGAGCGTCATAATTGCTCGACAGGCTAAAAATAAGCAAAAAGAACATATTAGAATAAGACAAGTCACATCTTAGGTCTGCTTTGAATCATTTTCATCATTATTGCCCATCTGTTTCAACATATAACAAAATACCTTTCATGTCATATAGGGATATTTAAATTACTGTCACTGTCACTGTCCTCCTGTTGTTCATAGATTTGCTCGAGCGGGCCCAGTAGCGTCTCCACCGTGAGACTTGTTGTTACTGTGTTTGGCATGTTGAATACATCACAGGTAGCTTGCCAGGCTTTGCCGTGCGGGCGAGATACTCTCAGTAGCTTGCCAGGCTCTCCTAGAGGGGCGGAGGAATTGAACCCGGTTCGGCCGGGCTGGCTGTGTGTAAGACAAATGCTACCTACCACTGTGCTATCACTCCAGCCCATATTTAAATCATCCTATTTTATTTAATAGGAAGTTGCCAGTACTTATTACTTGAATTGTATGGCTGGATTACTAATTTTAACAATGTAATCAATAATCAAAGTTAACAACGTAATCAATAATCAAAGTATACAATCAATAGAAAAACACACTGTAGGTAGGGAGAGGGCCAACCTCAGAGGAATAATTATGGGGCAATCCTGTCATGCAGAATCTACACCTATGGGTGGAATGAAACAAGTCGGCCTGATTTCAAGCAGGGAATACCTACTGGATCTGGGTATTTTCAGGCCCCCAGCCCCAACTCCTGAGCAGCTCCAGAGAGAGTGCAGGCAGCAGAGGAGTGAGGGAAGGGCAAACGAGGAGAGCAATGCAGCGGGGCTCTCTGACAAGCTGCGTACAAGACCTCAGTTGCAAGATAGCAACAAAAGAGTTGCTGGGCGCACAGATTTCGAAAAATACCAGCTGCTTTCACTTCTACTCAACAACGAAGCAAGTGATTAAGAGTTGGTGAGAACCAGTGTAGGCATTACCTCTTGGTGCCTCTGACAGTCCAGCTGAATAGTCCAAGTCTGTATCAGAGCAAGTGAGCATCTGGCTACTGATGGACACCTGCTTAGCCAAACCGAAAAACAGCCCAGCCCAGCAGGCAGGGGTCAGCTAGCTGGCAAGCACATCCAACTTCCCAAAGCACTGGCAGCTCACAAGGGGCTTGCATCCAGACCCATGGAACACAGCACAGCAGATGGAAGTCTGTCAGGCTCTGGTGATAAAGAGCCCCTGTGAGTCAGACACCTGCAGTATATGAAGCCTAAGTAAGCCCCTAAGGTTGAGCAAATCTAGCTAATAACACATTCTTGGACATGAATAAGCCCAAATTTTCTAGTCACTGTCACCCAGGTCCTTCAAAACTGGTGAGAAGGTATCCCTGGCTGCCAAAACGAAGTATGCCAGGCAGTCCAAAAGATCTATTCAAGCTCAACACAGACCTAACACAAAATGGCCAAAGTGCCCCACTGGTCATCCTTCAGACCTGCTTCACGTAGCACTCAGCTGTAGGAGGACACATGCGTTAGTTCATCAGGGCAGCAATGGTTCACATATGTTGTTAGCCAGGTCTTCTCAACTTGGCTCTAAAACCGCAGCCTGATACTGGCAAACACAAACTCCTACCAGCAATGAAGATCAGTTCTCTGAACAGCTGCTGTTAGAGACTACTCATAAGCACAATTCCAGACACTGCTCAAACCAGTCAGAATTTGACTGTATCAGTTGTCAGACACCAGCAACCATGACCTGGGTCAGAGCCCAGGCCTGCTAGAACTCAGTGCTAGAGTGGATACAGAGCACTTGGGGAGTCTTCAATAATTCTGACTCCAGTGGCAAAGAAAAACGCATATCCGTTGACTCTTCAGCCCATGCTTTTAATTTAATGTGTCTCAATTTTATAAAGTTCAAATTTTAATTTGATTCTGATCTGAATGTGATTCTAGTCTTAAGATGACAGTGGATTTTTATATTTACAGAAAGTTCAACTACAACTACAGAGGTAAGGGAAAACCATTTTTCTCTTTTCTAAAATGGAAGAGACTGGAGCTATAAACTAGATTGAACCTAGTCTAGTATTACATGTATATTTTTCATTGTTGCTGTTTGTTTCAGAGCCACACCCAATAATATTCGGGGCCTACTCCTGGGTCTCTGTTCCTGGATCACTCCTGGTGGGACTCAGAGGATCATAAAGCAGTGCCAGGGATAAAATCAAAGTCAGCCACATGCAAGGCAGATGTCTTAACCCCTGGACTATTTCTCTGTCCCCTGTCAATGTATAAGAGTGAGAGTAAAAAGAAAATTTCAAAAGGGGAAGGCTCCAAATTCAAATGAGACAAATCTGTGAGCTAAAACATAACAGATGAATCAGTTATCAATGGCAGCCCACCTCAAACAGGGTGAGCTAAAGACATACAAAGAAATGTAACTGCCATGTACATCTAACATATACAATGAATGCACTAACTCCAGGACTTATTAATCAGATATTAAAACCACAGAATCTTTTGGAAAGAATTAAAAAAAAAAACAGTTCAAAGCAGGTGAATAGTAAGTAACAGTTGAAGGAGAAAACTACTAAAATTATGGGGACACAGAGGTTGAACAGCAGCCTGTACCCATTTTTATAAATATTCAAGATTCCCAGAATACTTTTTTTATACTTTTTTTACCCCAGAATACTTTTTTTTAATACTTTTTATCATCCTTCATGTACCTATTAGACTAAGCAATCATTTTTATAAAATTCTGAACAGATATGACAAATCTACTTAAGTCTCTACTTTACTCTCTTTAACAATCGAGTCGCCTCAGAAGAAGTTGATCTCCCTGGATTTTAAGAAAAATAGGAAGTCAGCGAAATTTCAAATCATTTGGCACAGACAAAAGGTGTTCAACAAAATAAACTATTCCCAGAAAAGTCTGAAAGGAGACAGAGCTGACAGATACTCTTTATTGATTTGCTTGTATTTTGAGACACTTACCTAAGCAGTTTATGACCATTTGTTGTGGCAACTTCAGCAAGGCTTGTAAGTATCTTTAAGTACTGACTTTCACTTTGCTGAGACAAATGTTCCAGAACTTGCCGTAACTGTTTTATAAATGAAAAATGTGATTATGCAATAATCCATCAAACTTTTCCCAAGTTAGCTATACATTTTTAAAGTATACTAAAGTCAAGGTAAAGGCAAATCTGAAATAAATCTGTTAACATATATTTTGCCTTGCGAACATTCAAAAGGTAATAAGGAGATCACTTAATGTTTTGTTCATATCATCAGTTAAAAACAATGAAATATGTAAGTAGAACAGAAAGCACCAAGTTTAGGGAAACTTAATCCCAAACTTTTGAAACCTGAAAGAAGTTTCAGCAATTTTTCAAATACTTACAATCACTATAAATATAAAGCTCAGTAAACTAGTGACTATAAATCATAACATACTACTCCTTAGATTCTTTACCTATGGAAAATAGTCTAATTATTTTAATGAAAGTCTCAGAAGGCAAAAAAATCATAGACCCACTCCACAGCTTAGAAGCCGGCCTCACATGCTGGGGGAAAAGGCAGCTCAGATAGATAAGAAAACATCAAGTAAAAGGTGCTAGGAGGGCCTGCTCAACAATGGGAGATGCGGGCTGAAAGTAGACTATAGACCAAACATGACGGCCACTTAATACCTCTACTGCAACCACAGCACCCAAAAGGAGAGAGAGAGAGAGCAAAAGGGAATGCCCTGCGACAGAGGCGGGGTGGAGTGGAGGGGACAAGACGAGGGTGGTGGGGGGAATGCTGGGACCACTGGTGGTGGGAAATGGGCACTGGAGGAGGGATGGGTACTCGACCATTGTATGACAGAAACGCAAGCATGAAAGTTTGTAAGTCTGTAACTGTACCTCACAGTGATTCACTAATAAAACATTTTTTTTAAAAATCATAGATGCAAATATGAATACAAAGCTTATCATTACTACATAACTAAAATTTGTCCTATAATGCATATAAGCATATTCATATTGTTAAAAATACCTGCTTGGCGCCCCCTCTTCACCCAGACCCGCGCCCCTGAACACCAGCAGCCCCTGGGACCCCAGCCTGGGGCATCTGCCTCCATTTCTGCATCGAGTGCCAGCCCAACTAGTCAACACCCACCTCCCACATGTCTGTGGACTAGCATCTGGATGGCTGGGGGTGTGGCCTCCTCAAAAGTGGGCGTGGCCTTCTGTGTGGCGGCTGCAGTTCCAGTCCCCACTCTTAGCACTCTCGATTCACATCCCAATCTTCATCACCTAATTCTGTGGAAAACTTCCTGGCTGTCTCAAACATAATAGGACAATAGTCCACCGGCCTACTCCCATTCCAACAAAAAAACAGTGTACCCCAGAAGCTGTACAAGCCCAATATAAAAGAGCACCTCCTCCAACGCTTCACTCACTGCCTCATAAACCACAGAACAATATCTGAGAGGAAAGACATATTCTAGAAGGGGATAAGGGTGACCACCAGCAACTGACCTTATTCAGAATCCTTTCCCACAATAAGAGGAAACAGTGCCTGTGAACTTCAAGGTTTTATCTCTACACAACCACAACAACATGAAGAAACTGCACAAATCTCCACTATGAGGAAAGGACAAAGAAAAGAATCCCAACAGGGGCTACCCACAAATATGCTCTCTCCAATAAAGAATTCCATAATGAAATGCTGAGGATGTTCAAGGAACTACTCAAAGAATCAATGGAGCAGGGCAGGAGTGATAGCACAGCGGGTAGGGCGTTTGCCTTGCACACAGCCGATCCAGGTTCGATTCCCAGCATCCCATATGGTCCCCTGAGCACCACCAGGAGTGATTCCTGAGGGAAGAGCCAGGAGTAACCCCTGTACATCACCGGGTGTGACCCAAAAAGAAAAAAAAAGAATCAATGGAGCAGACATTCAGAAAATTAAAGGAAGAAATGAAAGAAACAGTGGAATGGATAGCTGAAAAAATACAGGAAGAAATGAAAGCAGAAATAAAAAAGCTACAGAAAGAAATTTCACAAGTAAAGGATTTGGTAGATGAAATTAAAAACTCAGTGGGTACCCTCAGCAGAAGAATGACTACAGCCGAAGACAGGATCAGTGAGCTTTTGAAGATGAGCAACAGAAATAGCATAGGGAACAACAAACATTGGGAAAAGACCTCAAAATAGCTCTAAGGCGAATCAGAGATCTAGGGGATGACACCAAGAGAAACAACATTAGAATCATGGGAGTACCAGAAGGACAGGGAGGCAACCCCAATAAAAAAAGTCACTGTGAAAGAAATCATTGCTGAAAAGTTCCCAGAATTAAAGAATGCAGACAAACACATGGGCTGGAGCTATAGCACAGGGGTAGGGTGTTTGCCTTGCATGCAGCCAACATGGCCCACCCGAGTTCAATTCCTCCGTCCCTCTCGGAGAGCCCGGCAAGCTACTGAGAGTATCTCGCCCGCACGGCAAAGCCTGGCAAGCTACTCGTGATGTATTCGATATGACAAACACAGTAACAAGTCTCACGATGGAGACGTTACTGGGCCCGCTCGAGAAAATCGATGAACAATGAGAGGACTGTGACCATGACCGTGAGACAAACCCATGGCAAGCATTATCCTCAATGGGGAAAAACTAAGGGCCTTTCCCTAAGATCAGGGACAAGAAAAGGATGCCCACTATCACCACTTCTGTTCAATATAGTACTAGAAGTACTTGCAATGGTGAGTAGGCAAGAAAAAGACATTAAAGGCATCCAGATAGGAAAGGAAGAAATCAAGCTCTCACTATTCGCAGATGATATGATACTATATCTCGAGAACCCTAAATCCTCTACCAAGAAAATTCTAGAAACAATAGACTCGGACAGAAAAGTCGCAGGCTATAAAATTAATGCCCAAAAATCTTTGGCCTTCCTATACGCAAATAATGAGACAGAGGAAAGTGACACACAAAAAAAAACAATCCCGTTCACAATTGTGCCCCAGAAAATCAAGTACCTAGGAATCAGCTTAACTAAGGAAGTAAAGGACCTGTACAAAGAAAACTACAAAACGCTACTTCAGGAAATAAAAGAGGACATGAGGAAATGGAAAGATATCCCCTGCTCATGGGTAGGGAGACTTAACATTGTCAAAATGGCAATACTACCGAAAGCATTGTATAAATTCAATGCAATCCCTATAAGGATACCCATGACATTCTTCAAAGAAATGGAGCAGACACTCCTGAAATTTATATGGAACAATAAGCCCCCACAAATAGCTAAAGCAATTCTTGGGAAAAAGAAAATGGGAGGAATCAACCTCCCTAACTTCAAACTGTACTACAAAGCAGTAAAAATTAAAACAGCATGGTACTGGAAGAAAGGCAGAACTGCAGACCAATGGAACAGGGTTGAATACACTGACATCACCCCTCAATCATATGCTCATCTAATCTTTGATAAAGGTGCAAGTAATGTGAAGTGGAGTAAGGAAAGCCTCTTTAATAAATTGTGTTGGCATCACTGGACGGCTACAAGCAAAAAAATAGGCTCAGAACTCTGCCTAACACCATGTACAAAAGTAAGATCAAAATGGATTAAAGACCTCAACATCAGACCAGAAACCATAAGGTACATTGAAGACAAAGTTGGCAAAACCCTCCATGACATTGAAGCTAATGGTATCTTCAAAGATGCCACGCCACTGGACGAGCAAGTGAAAAAAGAGATAGATAAATGGGACTATCTTAAACTAAGAAGCTTCTGCACCTCCAAAGAAACAGTGACCAAAATACAAAGACAGTCTACAGAATGGGAAAGGATATTCACCGAATACACATCTGACAAGGGGTTGATATCCAGGATATACAAAATACTGGTTAAACTCCACAAGAAGAAAACATCCAACCCCATCCAAAAATGGGGCAATGAAATGAACAGAAACTTTCTCAAAGAAGAAATCCGAATGGCAAAAAAGCACATGAGAAAATGCTCTACATCATTAATCATCAGGGAGATGCAGATCAAAACCACAATGAGATACCATCTCACACCTCAGAGACTGGCCCACATTCAAAAGAACAAAAGCAACCGATGCTGGCGTGGATGTGGCGAGAAAGGGACACTCCTTCACTGTTGGTGGGAATGTCCACTGGTTCAGCCCTTCTGGAAAACAGTATGGACGATTCTCAAAAAATTAGAAATTGAGCTCCCATTTGACCCAGCAATACCACTCCTGGGAACATATCCCAGAGAGGCAAAAATGTATAGTCGAAGTGACATCTGCACTTGTTTGTTCATTGCAGCACTCTTTACAATAGCCAGAAACTGGAAGAAACCTGAATGCCCAAGAACAGATGACTGGTTAAAGAAACTTTGGTTTCTTTACACAATGTACACAATGGAGTACTATGTAGCTGTTAGAAAAGATGAAGTCATGAAATTTACATACAAGTGGTACAATATGGAAAGTATCATGCTAAGCGAAATGAGTCAGAAAGAGAGGGATAGACATAGAAAGATTGCATTCATCTGGGGGATATAAAGTAACAAAGTATGAGATTAATACCCAAGAATAGCTGAGATCAGCACCAGGAGGATTACTTCATAACTTAGAGGCCAGCCGGGTATCCTAGAGGAAAGGGCAGTTCAGATAGAGAAGGGAGCACCAAATAAAGGATGTTTGGAGGATCCTTCCAGGAGGGGAGATGCATGTCGAAAGTAGACTATGGACTGAACATGTTTGCCACTCAATGCCTCTTTTGCAGACCACAACACCCAAAAGGAGAGAGAGAACACAGGGGATTGCCCTGCCACAGAGACAGGGGGGATGGGGGGATGGGGGTGGGAGGGATATTATCCATGGTGGTGGAAAATGGGCACTGGTGGAGGGATGGGTATCTGATCATTGTATAATTGAAACCAAAGCACAAAAAATTGTAAATCTACAACTTTAAAAAAAATAAAATAAAATAAAGGGGGAAAAAAAAAAAAAACAATCAAAAAAAAAAAAAAAAGAATAGCTGAGATAATTACCAGGAGGTTCAATCCATGGCTTGGGGGCTAGCCACACATGCTAGGGGAAAAGGCAGCTCAGATAGAGAAGGGAGCACCAAGTAAAGGGTGTTGGGAGGATCCACCCAGGATGAGAGATGCATGCTGAAAGTAGACTATAGATCGAATATGATAGCTACTCGATGCCTCTTTTGCAAACCACAGCACCAAAAAGGAGAGAGAGAGAGAGAGAGAGAGAGAGAGAGAGAGAGAGAGAGAGAGAGAGAGAGAGAGAGAGAACAAAAAGGGAATGCCCTGCAACAGAGGTGGGGTGAGATCGGGGGTGGGGGGGAGGGATACTGGGATCATTGGTGGTGGAGAATGGGCACTGGTGGAGGGATGGGTACTTGATCATTGGACAACTGAAACCCAAGCACAAAATTTGTAAGTCTACAGCTGTACCTCATGGTGTTTCACTAATAAAATTTTTTTTTAAAAAAAAAGCATACTGAAAGTAGACTATAGACCAAACATGATTGCCACTCAGTGCCTCTTTTGCAAACCACAACACCCAAAAGGAGAGAGAGAACAAAAGAGAATGCCCTGTCAGAGGCAGGGTGGAATTGGGGGGATGGGGAGTGGGAGGGATACTGGGGACCCGTGATGGTGGAAAATGGGCACTGGTGAAGGGATGGGTACTTGATCATTGTATGACTGAACCCCAAGCACAAAAATTTATAAGTCTACAACTGTACCTCATGGTGTTTCACTAATAAAAATTTTTTTAAAAAACCACCAAAATAAATAAATAAATAAATAAAAATTTAGAACTATTATTAAAAAAAACTACTAAAAATTACTAAGCAGCTTTGCAAACTAACATATATACTAAACAAGGTCATTTATAAACTATAAGCACAGTTACATTACCATGTTTTCTCGAAGATCTTCATTCTGTGTCATTTGAATAATTGTCTGAAATAGCCTAGGGTGATACTGAATCAATACTTCACAAGTTTCTCCATATCCACCCTAAAAAAAAAAAAAATAATTATCTAGCTTTAAAAATGAAGTCCCTAAAGGAAGTCTGCTTCCTCTCCACATAGTATGCCTGCTGCCAAATGAATGGGTTTTCCATACAATTCTCCAGTTCTCTTTGGAGACTGATCTGGTAATCCGGTAATTTAATTTTGATTTCATCCAGCATTAGTACTGACCCCACAGGTCAGAGGATCAGATCCACAAGATTCCCCACCCCACTTCCAACTTCAGTTTCTGTAACCCCCACTTCGGCTGTGTAATTTCACAAGAACTAAGGAAAAATACTATTACCTACGTATACGAAAGATAAAAACTAGGAAACATCTACATGTAAGAGACACATAAGTTCTGCTATGTGGGAAAAGGTGTCAAGGCTTCAGACCTTCATCCCAGCATTTCCATGTGTTCACCAACAAAGGGTCTCTCTACAATCTAATGTTTTGTTTTGTTTGGGGGGGGGGGTGCCACACCTAGTGGTGCTCAGGGGTTACTCCTGGCTCTGCGCTCAGGAATTACTCCTGCTTTACTCCTGGCAGTGCTCAGAGGACCATACAGAATGCAGGGGATTGAACCTAGGTCAGACACATGCAAGGCAAGCATCCCTCTCCAAAACCTATGCTTCAGGGCTTTCATGGAAATTCATTTTAATAGGTGTGACTAATTATATCACTGGTCATTTGGTCACTGGGCCTATCTCCACGACCTTCTGCTCCACTGAGTTGAGGAACAAGGTTTCCTTCTAAGCACGTAGTTGTTTCCTTTAGCAATGAGCCCCTATCATAAAGCTACCTAGCAGAACGCAGCCACCATTCATTACCACAAAAAAAGATTCACTCTTAAAATTGTATGGGTTTTAGAAGTACCTGTGTTAGGAATTAGGATGAAGAGACAAAGGACAGAGACCAAACAGATCTTACCACTTTATAATGTCACAGTTCATTTTACAGAACAATACTTTTTTGGTATATACATACCTTTACAGTACAAAAATTTTTGCACTCACCTTTTCATTTGAGGGAAAAAAAAAAGATTCCCAGTCTCCATTTCTAATATGAAGTTAGATAACTAAGAATATACCTTTAAAAACATACCTGTACACATAAATCCAGAGGAGTTACTCCATTTTTATCTGGCAGATATTTGGCTCCTCGCATTAGAAGAATCTGTGCTGTGTCTCTCTGACCATGACTGTACAGAAAAAGGACCAAGTTAAAAATTTGTTCTTAACGGAAAACCTTTATTAATTATAGTTCATTAATAAACTAATGGGAAATCTTAATGATATTAATTTAATATAAAATAAACACAACTGACTCCATCCCAGCACTTATATGTGTTCGCCAGCAAAGAGGCTCTCCAAAAATCTATTCTTTTATTTTATTTTGTTCAGGAGCCAACCTCTGTGATGCTCCAGGGTTTATTCCTGGTTCTGAATTCAGGAATCATTTCTGGCAGTGGTTGGGCACCACATGGGATGCCAGGGACAGAATTTAGGTTGGCTGTGTAGAAAGTAAGCACCTTACCCACTGTACTGTATCTCTGGCCCCTAAATCAGGATTAATCTTTAAAAACCAAGAGGAAGATCTGAACTATAGTCTCAGCAATCAGGTAAACTTTCATCAATGTTGTCACATTTCACCATGTGGCTAAAAAAAGTGATCAATTAAGTCTTAGAAGTGAATCTGGGACACATTAACTAAAATAAATCCTAGTACGTTGTGATAAACAACTATTACTGGGACTCATGTTTTATTTTTCCCTCAAGTCACTTCTTTCTCAACTCTAGCCAGACCTCCTTCCTATCATACAGTCTAAGTCTCTAGTCCTCTTAGTAACAAAAGTCACACTGTACTCTAAACAAGAGTATATAGTTTATGGTATTTTAATACTTTCTAAAACTATTAATCAGAAAGAAAAGACTTATCAACATAAGAGAATTGTGTTGGGGAGAACTGGGACCAAGCAGCCAAAAACTGTACTGTATGGTCAGCCTTCATTTAATCAACCCACTCTGTCTGGCTTCTGCTAAAAGCCTAAATCTGACCTAAAATTCTTTTCTTCACACCCACATTCTCTGACTGTTCTTCTTGTAGACGATGAAACTGGTAACTCTACAACTCTGTAAGCTATAACCAACCTATCTCAGAGGTGGTGAACACTAGATTCCAGATATTGTTTCTTAGTTAGTTCATGTGTTCCTAAATATAAGTACTAAAAACAAAACTCGCAATTCAGACTTTAAAGTGGATGGAACAGGAGAGAAGGGGAGGGAAGGACACAGGTGGGGAGGGGAGGAAAGGAAAGGGGAGATTTCCTTCTGGGGCCACTAATTCTGAAAATAAGAGATAGACCAAATAAGTTTAGAATTTCAGCTGTAACATATAATTAATAAGCTGAAATTTAAAACTCTTTTTAAAAACCAACAGGATCCAACTATATGATTCTAGAAATATAGGTATATCATTCTCTTAAATCTATAATACTGATTACATTATTAAACAAATTTAAGAATAACATCTAATCTGCCAAGAAAAAAAGCAGAAAACTCAAAAAACCAATAACCAGCCCCCTCCCAAACAATCCAAAAAAAAAAAACTAATTTTACTGACATACATCAAGAAGTTGACATCGTTATCTAATATGCTAATATTCATGTGTCAAATTTTTCCATAAAACTACAAACTTCTTGACAATACATTTGGCCCATTGCGTACTGCCATCATGGCAAGTAAGTTATAAACTTTACCCAACATACTGCTGAATTATAGTATAGGTTTTGAACTCTGATACACATTAATTTGAAAACTAAGCATAGAAGGCGAGGGTTGCAAATGTGGCTCCAGGGCCAGAGAAGATGCCTTCACACGAGAGGCCCTGCGCTCCGTCCCTGACACTGCAAGGTGTGACCCACTGACTGTGGAGGCTGTGCTACCCAGAGCAGAGCTCAGGAACACACAATCACCTTTGTGAAAAAAAACAAACAAGAAGATACCTTATGCCAAAAATTAACCAATATACCCAAATCTTAATTCGTTTGTAATCTACTAAGTGACAACATTAAAGTTGGTCTTTCGTACAAAATATGATAAAATCTTGATATTGTTATAACATTAACTTCATTTTTTGGTTAAGAAAACGTTGCTGAGGCACATAATGGAATTGTATCCAAAATCACAGCTCCATAGCAGAGAAAAAAACTGAATTCCAACTAGTCTGACTCCAAAATTCACCATCTGCATCATACTCTTCCAACAAGATGAAATAACAGTTTATTCTCAATAAACATTATAATCAAGAGTACAGTACAAAAAAGAGATGGCCTCAAACAATCAAAGCATGTACTCTATCATGAGCTACACCCATGCCAATGTGTGTGGATACTTTTTGTTAAATCATATTACAAGTGTATAGTAAAAAATAAAATTAGCATAAAAAAAGTGAAAAATACGACTGTGAAAGTTTTTGTTTTTGGGGTCACAAGCAGCAGTGCTCGTGGCTTACTCCAGGGAACCCAGGTTAGCCATATGCATAGCTAAAACATTATCTGCTACCTCTCCAGCCAACCACTGTGAAATATTTAACCCACCGCTGTGAAATCTATAATAACTTCCAAAACGACATTAAAATCCCATCTATATTTGAGACTTGCATGTGAAAAATAATTTAAAAGCAAGAAATAATAGCTAATAAAACAAAAAATCTGCATCACGAGAATAGGGCCTCAAGTCTGTCTTAATGCAAGAGATTTGGACCATTCTATAACACACTGTTCAGAATGCTACATCAAAAAATGCAAAAATGCCCTCAGTGAATAATTATTCTTTATTGTTGATCTTATTTTTCATATCAACCAAGAAAATATTCCAAGGAAATACCAAAACGTTTTCTGGTAACTAAAAAGTTGACCAAGATTTAACTAATATTAAGCAAACTTCTAAAGCGTTTTCAAAGTGATTTCTGAAGTATCTTCAGTGTCCGAACTATAGGCTCTACTCAGCCATTACTTGAAAATGTGCTTAGGAGTAGATTACATAGTTTACAATATTTTTGAGAAAACAAAACTTTTTTTCTAATCTTTTTTTGGGGGTGTGGGGGGGACGGTGATTACAAGAAAAGAAGGAAGGAGAAAGAAAAAATAGAAGGGGTGTATTTACAGTGAAATGACACTAGAACCTGATGGTAGATAAGATGAATTTTAAAACCTCTGGAGATATTTGAAATTCTACAATATATTATAAACCAGCAATAATTTTGTTAAATAATACTATGGTTGGTAATAGCAGCAAAAAAAAAGTGTATGGTTTCATATTTATGGCTGCTGAAAATGGCTCTGAATAGCTACTAATTCATGTCTAGAATCCCAACTCTCTCACTGCATTACAGACCTGAAATTTCATATATATCTCACTAACTGTATGCATGCAGTCCCTGCTACACCTTCCTTTTTCTAATGGATAAGTTATCTGCAAATACAGAAAATACTTTCACGTCATTATATATTTGAACTTTTATTTGAAAAACTTGTAGGGAAAGGTAAACAAAATTGACTGAGTATATAATCAATCTAATTACTTAAGAAACCAGAGCACTTGTAGATACTAAATGAAAGGCTTGAAAGTAAGGATATCTAAAGTGAGAGATCAATGTGTACCTATGTTATATATGAAAAACTATAATGAATTAAAATGTCTTATACAAGGTAAAGGCTCGAGCGGGCCCAGTAACGTCTCCATTGGAGACATTGTTGTTACTGTGTTTGGCATATCGAATACGTCACAGGGAGCTTGCCAGGCTCTAGTATCACAATTATTTTGTCACTAACTTTAGGTCAAAGTCAGACCCAAAACGCTGGACTCAAAGCACACTAGCAAAATAGAGCTCAGAATTAGAACAGAGTTTACAGGGAAAAAAGTAAAAGATCTGTACAGTGGGAGAAAAATCGTTATTTCTTAGTAAGAAATCCCAATACAGCAATAAAACTGAATGAGGACAATACAATGGCAGGCTCACTTGGGAATGGAAAAGAGTGCTGGAGCTTCGTGAGCATTTGTCAACTACTAATACACTGCAGGATGCTTTATATTAACCAGCTCATTTAATTCTCACCACAGACCCACAAAACAGGTGTCAATATTGCAGTTTAGCAAAGAAACCAAGGTCAAGGGGCTTGGCTAAAGTTGCCTACTTTGGGAACTGGAGTAATACTCTTAACCATTAAATAACAATTATTTTCTATTTTTTAATGTACTATAATGTGTCCACAGAATCAATTTGGTATGATTTCTATATTCCTTTAGTATATTAAAAGCTATGGGCTGAGCGATAGCACAGCAGGTAGGGCGTTTGCCTTGCATGTGGCCAACCCGGGTTCGATTTCTCCACCCCTTTCCGAGAGCCCAGCAAGCTACCAAGAGTATCCCACCCACATAGCAGAGCCTGACAAGCTCCCGGTGATGTATTCAGTATGCCAAGAACAGTAAAAAGTCTCACAATGGAGATATTACTGGTGCCCACTCGAGCAAATCGATGAACAACAGGAGGACAGTGCTACAGTGCTATATTAGAAGCTATACACAGGAAACTCCATATATGTGGAAGGGGAGTCACACTCAGCTGTGCTTAGGGCTTATTCCTTGCTCTGCACTCAAGAGATCTCTGCTGGTGACTCAGGGGAACATGTGGTGGCAGGGATCAAACCAGGGTTGGCTTCATGCAAGGCAAGTGCCTTAAACCCTGTACTAACTTTTGGTCATCCAGCTTCAGTTTTGTTGTTGTTATTGCTATTATTTGGCTTTTGTGCCATACCCTGCTGTTCACATGGCTTACTCCTGGCTCTGAGTTCAGGGATTACTCCTGCCTCTGAGTTTAGGGATTACTCCTGGCAGGGCTCAGAGCACCATACCTGGTACTGGAGATAGAAATGAAGTCAACTGCATCCAAAGGCAAGTGCCTTGCCCACTGCACTATCTCTCCAGCCTCTACCCTCTCCCACCAGCTGCAGTTTTAATGATACTTGCCTAACCATCTTTGTTCAAAGCAATCTAAACATTCACTGAATAATACTCAATGACAAGAGCTGGAGACTATGCATAGGAGATAAGTGCTTGCCTTACATGCTGACAACTCCAGTACCATATGTGTTCTCCTCAAGCACTGCAAGAGGTCACTCCTGAGCACAAAGCCAGGAAGAGTGCCTGAGCACAGCCTGATGTAGTCCTGTCCCCCATCCTTCACCCCACCAAAAAAAAAAAAAAAAAAGACCTTAATGTGGGGGCTCCAAAACTGGCTGAGTGTTTAAAGCGGGTGCTTTGAATGCTTGAGGTCATGAATTTGACAATGCCTTGTGCTGCTCAGGCACAAGCATGAGCACAGTGCACCAAACACAGAGGTAGCTCTGCCACTTGGTATCCTCAGCTCCACAAGAATGTGGAATCTCAGAGCACTGCAGTCAGGTGCATGTGAGCAGGGTCAGTGATTGGTGCAACCTTCAGCAAGCAATGCAAGTACAGATGTGTGAGCTTCAAGATCAGGTGTACAGACCCCACCAAGCATTCACGTGACCATTAAGGATGCACAAACTCCCATCACTGCAGGAAGCAATAACAAAAGGGAGAAGAGAAAGGAGAAAAATGGTGGGACAAAAACACTACCAGAAAGCACATCTAAAAATTATTTTACCACATATGCTCCAACTAGCTCTATAGATACCCCTTTCTAATAATGAAAACATACCTATACTTTATTATTATACATGGAGCTGTAGTATATAACATCTTTCAAAGATAATTACAGTCATTCCTACATTTACTAAAAATCTTCACTATCTAAGGACAAAGCCACTATACTACAAACACTGTGAAACACTGTCCTCCCGTTGTTCATCGATTTGCTCGCACAGGCCCAGTAATGTCTCCATTGTGAGACTTCTTGTTACTGTGTTTGGCATATTGAATACTCTCAGTAGCTTACCAGGCTCTCCGAGAGGGGCGGAGGAATCGAACCCGGCTTGGCCAGGCTGGCTGTGCACAAGGCCAATGCCCTACCGCTGTGCTATCACTCCAGCCCACTATACTAACACTCTGAATATAAAGTGGTGAGTAAAATCAAAATAATTCTTGCTTTCACTGAGCTTTCAGTCTAAATGGGGAAGACTGTACAAGTAAAGAAACAATTATAAAATAGAGTGCTGTGAAGGAAATGAGCAAGATGAAAAGGCCTAAACTGGTCAGGAAATCACCTTCTTAAAAAGTAGTCATTATCGGGGCTGGAGTGATAGCACAGCGGGTAGGGTGTTTGCCTTGCACGCAGCCAACCCGGGTTCGATTCCCAGCATCCCATATGGTCCCCCGAGCACTGCCAGGAGTAATACCTGAGTGCATGAGCCAGGAATAACCCCTGTGCATCGCCGGGTGTGACCCAAAAAGCAAAAAAAAAAAAAAGTAGTTATTAAGGGGCTGGAGCAATAGTACAGTGTGTAGGGTGTTTGCCTTGCACACGACCAACCCGGGTTCGATTCCCAGCATCCCATATGGTCTCCTGAGCACCGCCAGGGGTAATTCCTAAGTGCAGAGCCAGGAGTAACCCTTGTGCATCACCAGGTGTAACCCAAAAAGCAAAAAAAAAAAAAAAAAAAAGTCATTAAGCAATGAGTCAAATAAAAAGCCAAGGGAGGATCATTTCAAGCATAAATAAACAATAAAACACATAGACTGCTGGAAAGAGTCTGCCGCATTTGTCCACTTCAGAGAGAACCAATATGACTAAAGACCATAAGGTAAGCAGAAATCAGCTCATATATGCTTCAGAGGCTATAGCTGAGTTTGGTCTTAGAAAAGCACCAGGAAGGAAACTCTTGAAAAGTTTAAACTATCTTTAAACATTATATGTACTAATTACTTTTTTTGCAAAAGATGACTTAAGGCTGAAGAGAAAAGAATATGCTGGAGGCAAATAATGTACCAGGAAAATCATATATTGGATAGTAAGTAAATCATTATCCAAAATAATATATTGGATAGCAAGAGACTATCCAATACTCTTGAATGTAGCACTGTAGCATTGTCCTTCCGTTGTTCATCGATTTGCTCAAGCGGGCCCAGTAACATCTCCATTGTGAGACTTGCTGTAAATATGTTTGTCATATCGAATACGTCACAGGGAGCTTGCCAGGCTTTGCCATGCGGGCAAGATACTCTTGGCAGCTTGCCGGGCTCTCCAAGAGGGGCAGAGAAATCAAAACCGGGTCAGCCTGCCGACTGTGTGCAAAGCAAACGTCCTACCACTGTGCTATCTATTGCTCCAGCCCTACTCTTGAATAAGAGATGATAATTTTAATTAATGTGGCTTGGTGAATTAGGAAATAGTAAAGATTCAGAATATATGAACACCAAAATCTAGCTTTAAGGGGCTAGAGGGATAGCACAGTGGGTAGGGCGTTTGCCTTGCATGCGGCCAACCTGGGTTCGACTCCCAGCATCCCATATGGTCTACCCGAGCACAGCCAGGAGTGATTCCTAAGTACATGATCCAGGAGTAACCCTGTGCATCTCTGGGTATGGCCCAAAAAGAAAAAAAAAAAATCTAGTTTTAAAAAGAAGTCTGAACTAAAGACAACCTCTCATGATAGGATATGATTTCAGTGATAATAGCCAAATTAAAGACACAAATTCAGGAAGAAACTGGTTTTCTACTCAGAAAATATTTAAGTGCAATGAAAGAAAATAAACAGATTGAGAAAAGATTTAGAAATATAGAAATCCAAAAGTTCTTGTATTCTTATATAAATAAGGTAAGGCTGTTGAATTTGCTGGGTTAAAGTATTATCAAAAATACTAAGGAAAAGTCAAACAAGAAATAGATTTTTTTAACCCAAAAACAAGTCTCAAGTAAAAAGATATGTAACAGAAACAAGGGTAAGAAAAGCTTCTGGTAGAGGTCTGAATTTAAGAACCTAAATAAACATTGTAATTCATATAATCTAACCAGAGATAAGAATCACTAGTGTTTTATGAATAGCTATTAACTGTAAACTACAATTACATAATATTGTATGCATGTATATGAATGGAAATACAAAGATAATTATTATATTACTAGGTCCATATTACTTTTCCTGTAATAATGGATAAGCAGTATTATTATTTTTTGTATACTAACAATTGATATTCTTATATATTATATAATACTTTTGTATATTGATGTAGTCATTTATATATTATAATAATATATGTAATTATATATAATAATGCCTGTAATAATATACATCGAGAGGACTGTTTACTACAAGAATGAAAGACTATAATGCACACTTATTTCAAGAAAATTAGCCAAGGCAAAATATATAGTAACAACTTAAAGCATAACACTATCTAATAATAATAAATTAAAATACATACTAACAAAGCCAGAGAAAGCAAAGACATGGCTCTTGACCAAGATACACTTTCATAGCTTATCTCTTTGGAACTGAACTGGTTAATTTAATACTTTGTACTACAAACTTTTCTCTGCTTTGAGGAAAGCAAATTTTGTCAGTGCCTGGGAGGTTTCCTAGAGGGAACTAGTATATTATTGATATATCCTTTTTCTTATTAAGCAATTAGTATAAAATTAAAATATCAAGTAAACTAAAAGCTCCCACTATAACATTCTAAAACACTAGCACTAAATTAAAAAAAAAGTTTTCTTTTTTAAGAAAACAAGTTAGAGAGCAAGAAGAAGCGGAGAGGAGGCAACAGATGCAAGGATCAGGGGTTTCAGGAAGGCTGGCGGTGTAGAGGCAAGGTACGTGTATGTATCTGAACTGTAGTCAACAACACTGTCAACAGGCAATCCAAACTACACCAAACAAACTTGAAAAATGTGCCTGTTAGGGGAGCAAGATGAACGATGGAAGGTGGGAGGGAACCCTGAGCCATTGATGAAAAGAAGTTGACACTTGGTGGTACAGATTGGTGCTAGGACATAGTATGTTTCGAACTCAACAACTATGAAAACCTTTGAAATCATGGCGCTTTAATGAAAAAATACATTAATGTTTCTTTTTACAATTAAGTAATAGACTTGTAATTCCACACTTTATCTTAAAAGGGAACGTGGTATTTGAGGAAAAACAAAGACTTTCAGAAAATGTACAGAAATACATAAATCTACGACATTCTTTAGCAAGAACATTTGGAAATGTAAAATAGCATACCTGCAAGCAAAGTACAATGGAGTAGCTCCTGACACATTTGGCCTGTTAATATCAGCACCACTGTCTAGCAAGCACTGCACTGTCTGGTGGGAAGAGAAACAATTTAAATTATAGCCAGAGTAGTCAAACACAGACATAGCATTGCAATTTAATTCATATAAGAAAAGTTCCTGCCATAAGTGAAGACTTAAAAAAAACAACAAACAGGAACAAGATGATGATGGCAGGATAAATTCAACTTTCTGGTAAACTGTGAACTTCTCAGATACTACATAATATATGTAAGATTATCTGTATACCATAAATGAGCACTCCTGGGGAATACTCTAGAGCAATTTCCCAAAAGTGATACCACCAACTCAGAGGCACTGAAAAGAAGGGATGCAGGAGATATGGCTACTAATAACCTAGTGTATAACTGTTTAGGGGTGGGGGGTGAGTTCTGTTAGTTTGTCACTTGGCCCAAACTCCCCCCACCAGAAAGAAAGTATATTTCCCTGAGGGCGCTGAGTAACTTTGTTTCTGGAAAGTGAATATACCTCTCCTGCAGAGAGTCACTAGAGAATCACTATATAATAATAGTCAAAGTTTTAAGTAGTTATTGAGAACTTGAAATGTGGCTAGTACAACTAAAAATGGAATTTTATTTTATTCTCTTATAATTTAAAATAGTCACATGTGACTAATAAATTAGGCAATGGCGTCCTAGTCATTTAAATTTAAAAATGAGGAGTTTATTAAACTCAAAAAAAATTAAGTACCAAAATTGTAACTTTCTCATCACAAAGGGGAAAAAAATCCTTTTTCTATCTAACAACAGTCAACACTGACTCGGTTTCACAGATAGACATTCACATAAATGCTCTTCTTTAAGTTCTACTTCTGCAAACATTTGACTCACACTAAAGGGAAGGAAGCGTATCAAAAATCTTGAAACTATGTATCTAGAATGAATAGGATATAGGAAAAGGCTCACCCCAAATTCCATCATTTTCTCTAGCTTTATTCCTCTGGCTCTTGTTTGTGTTTGTCTAGCAAATAGCAAGAAAATATACAAAAACTTGAAAATTTTGGGGAATCAAAGTATTTCATATTTGTGTTGGGTTGAACATAGATGTTCAACCTTAGTGCTGCTTAAAATCTGAAAACAGTATCCGTAGAACAGTAAGACAATAAACTCACAAAGAGTATCTACAGTACACTAGATAAACCAACAGGCTTGGGGGAAGGAGCAAAGTGTCTGAAGAAAAGCAGCAGACTGGCAGATAGCTGCAGTTAGCTGCAGTCTAAGTGCCAGGAAGCCAGAATTCCAACAATCCACCACAAAATCCTCACTACAGAACACACACAGTAAACACAGGCACTGGAAATGTCATGAGCTCTTGGCAGACAGTTCAACATAGCCTAAAACAGGAAGAGTCAAAAATCTACAAAATAAACAATTGGAATCCTTGCTCCCTGCTCCCCACCCCAGGCAGCTAGCCACTATTCCTCCCTATACTGTTTCAGAAGATACACAGTTTAATATCCAGACAAAATAAATAGGAACGCTCTGAATTGGGAGGCAAGAAGTACAGGTAACTGAAGTGAGGCATCATGCTGAAAAAAATCTATGGAAAAAAAAACTAAGGGAAAACCTCCATCCCCCAGATTCCATCAGACTTCCAGAAATTAAGCAACCAATGGTTAAAACTTTGGGCAAAAAAATGGAAGTCTCCTCTTTGTAGACTGGCAACAGAGAAGAATCACTAGTGAAATACTCCAGTTAGATTCAGTTGGGTCTATAGCAGCAGTTCTCCTTTAAGGACAAGTTTTCCCTCTGGGGAACATTCACCAATACTGAGAGATCTCCTCCCACCCCCCAAGCCTCCACCCCAACCTTAACAGCTGGGAAAGGAGGGTGCTATTAGGAAATGGTGGGTAGAAGCCAGGAACAGGGGGCAAGAGAGACTGTACAGCAGGTAGAGTGTTTTCCTTGCATGCAGTCAATTTGGGTTCAATCCCCAGACCCATTTGGTCCCCCAAGCACTACCAGGAATGATTCCTGAGTGCAAAGACAGAGAAACCCCTGAGCATCACCAGATGTGACCCTAAACAAAAAAGAAGCAGCAGCAGCAGCCAGGAATAGATCTAAACATCCTACAATGCAGACAACCCCCACAATCAAAGAATTATGATACCTAAATAGTGCTGAGATTGAAAAACTTTTCTGCATACTGAAAATGGAAGAGTGAGGAGGGATGCAAAGTTCAATACAACGGGTCGTTTCCTACTGGTCATTTTAAATCTCACCAACAGGAGGGGAGGCAGTCAGTCTGACAGCTAACGGAAATGGCAAAGAGACAAAGATAGCAAACACTTAAAGGGGGAAGATGGAGCAAACGAATTCTGATCCTAGGCTCATACCTCCCCAGACAAAGAGACAGACAACAACTTCTGATCCCACGCCTGTGGTTAGGCAGTTCTCACCCACATGCACATGGCAGAGAACGAAGAAAAGCCTAAGAAGGAACCAAGAGCAGGGGCCGCCTGCAAGGACGGGCAAAGAAGAGTGTGTCAGTGACGAGCTAGCAGGCCAAAGAGAGCACTGAGCAGGGCTGGAGCGATAGCAAAGCAGGTAGGGCGGTTGCCTTGCATGCGGCCGACCCAGGTTCGATTCCCAGCATTCCATATGGTCCCCTGAGCACTGACAGGAGTAATTCCTGAGTGCATGAGCCAAGAGTAGCCCTGTGCATCGCCGGGTGGCCCAAAAAGCAAAAAAAAAAAAAAAAAAATAGAGAGAGAGAGAGAGAGAGAGCACTGAGCACCAGGAACATGGGACACAGGGATGAGGGACAGAACCAATAAGAGGGACAGAACCACTAAGAGAGCAGGATGGACCAAGGGCACAATACATGGGACATGGAAGGACAAAACTGGCCAAAAATTAGAGGCCTGGACACATGATAGCAAAGCTACCTGCGTAGAGCTGTTAAACAGCTATAACTTTGTAAGCACCTGGAGTTTAGTATGTTAATTTTATTCAAGTACTCACTCAGAAGTTGGCCAGTTTCATAGTAACGCTATAAAGGTAAAGTGTTAATAAGCCCAGCTGATGGACACAAGGGTTCCTTCCATCCATCATTTTAGTGCCTCTCCCCTACACATCACTAGAAACATAACATTTAAGTATAATTTCGAAGCGGTCCTCGAACCTTAAAACCAAAAACTGAAAACGAACCAAAAAATAAAAGTGGAGTCGGAGAATTAGTACAGCAAGTAGGACGCTTGCCTTGCACAAGGCAAACTCGGGTGCAATTCCCTGCACCACACATGGTCCCCCAAGCAGTGCCAGGAGTGAGCCCTGCGGAAAGGAAGGGGGGAAGGAAAAAAAGAGGAGTGGCAGGGAGGAAGGAAGAAAAGGTTAGAAAAATAAAGACATAAAGAGAACCAATAATGAAGAAAAGACCTATCTTTGAGACAAGAACAGGATGCTATAGGGAAAGTATCCTATAAGAAAGTGAAAATATAAGAAATAATAGTTAAATAGAAATTTACAAGAAATTTAGAAAAACAACAGGAAAGAAAAAAATACAAAAAGAAAAGAAAAAAGTAGATTAATGCAGGGAGGAATACTGGTGTCCCCAGCTACTCAAAGGTAAAGCTTTCATGGGACCAGAGAGGTAGTATAATGGGTAGGGAGCCTGCCTTGCACACAGACAACCCAGGTTTGATCCCTGGCATCCCAAATGGTCCCCTGAGCCTGCCAGGAGTGACTCCTGAGCACAGAGCCAGGAGTAACCCTGAACACTACTGGGAGTGACCCCAAAACTGGAAAAAAGAAAAAAAAATAAGCTTTCATATTTGATAAATTTGGTAGGCTATGTGGGGGATTCTGACTCTGATGTTACCATCATTTATATGAAAAATTGGTGTACTGGAGAGGTATTACAGCAGGTAGGGCACCTGCCTTGCATGTACCTGATTCATACTCAATCCCCGGCACCAAATGATCTCCGGAAACCCTCCAGGACTGATCCCAGAGCAGAGTAAGCCCCACCCAGGTGTGGCCAAAAAAACAAAAACGAAAACAAAAAATTGTAAGCATTCCTAGGCACAAAAATAACCTACACTAAATCATATCAAATAAGAATGTTTTATTTTGGATAACAGGGGAAACTTGTACTGTAGAAATCCAGATTAAAGAAAATGAAGGAGGTATGAGAACAAGGAGAAAAAAGCCAGGGAATTGTGTGTGTGTGTGTGTGTGTGTGTGTGTGTGTGTGTATGTATGTGTTTAGAGACAGTACAGTGTATAGAGGTATAGGATGCCTGCCCGTGTGTACCCGATCAGGCTGAATCCCAGGATGCCATCTGGTCCCCAGAGTACTACCAGGAGTAATCCCTAAGTGCAGAGCCTAGAGTAACCCCTGAGCATCACAAGGTGTGGCCCAAAAACAAAAACAAAAACAAAAAATGCCGAGAACGGAAGGAAATGAGTAGCCAGATTACAAAGTTCCACCAAGTACCCGGTGTATAAGTTAAAAGACTTTCAACAAGGCATGTCAAATACTGTCAAGTACAAAATGAAAGAGACTGGCATTAAGTTCAATAACAACACTGCCAACAAAAAGATAAAAATGCTATCAAAATTGTAAGGTAAATGACATCCAATGCAGAATTCTATAGCTCAAAGGGCTAGCGTGCATGCCTAGATGAGGAGGCCCCAATTTCTAGTGTGATCCCCTGATTGTATCTTCCAGCACTGCTGGGTAGGAGCAGCACTGCATTTTGGGACCGAGCACTGCACAATCAGCAGGCGTCAGCCCCAATCCCCCCAATCCCCAGCACTGCTTGGACCCCCAGTCCCACCCCAAAAATTTTACTTCCAATGTTCCTTTTCTCAAGAAGCAATTTTCTACCAAAGAATATGATCTTTGTACGAATATAGTGAGTGTGAATATATGTACTAAGTATTTATGTAGTAAGTATGTAGTAAGTATTCACATAAGTATGTAGAATCCAACATACTGGAGACTGTATGTAAGCAAGACTTCCAACAATCCACCACAAAATCCTCACTACAGAACACACACAGTAAACA